CCTCAGCTGCAGAAATATGATCTTTTTTTGTAACTCTAAACTTTTAAAAGGGACTCTGACCAGTCATTGTTTTTATACACACATCTATTCAACAAGATGGTTCGTATGAATGAATCACAATAAATCATAAAAGACAAAACTGGGCAACATACTTTTTTTTTTTTATTATTTATTTCTTTTGGCAGTGAACCCAAAAGCTGTCTGATGATCTAAAATGACATCTTCTTCTCTGTAGTCATCCAAGTGATGATCTAAGACTTGGAAAGCACCTCTTTGTCACGCTTTCATACAGCTGTTTCTCCGTTGTTCACGCGCCTCATAAACCTGCAGCAGAAGAGGAATCACTGTGTTTATGACAGCAGCACGAGTTAAATATTAATCTGTGAGCGCCTGCCTGTAAGTATGCGGGATTAATGGATGCATCGTGCTTTTGGACACTTTTTAACACCTGCATGTGAGGCCTGCTACTATCTGACAGAGGCAGTTAGTAAAAACAGCTCTCACCTCTTACCTCCCACTCAGCCGATGCATAATTCAACATTTTCTCACTTTTTTTTTTTTTTTTTCCTACCTCACATAAACTCCATGCTTGTGCACGAGTGTAAAACTCATTTTCCTGCAAGTTTGTGATGAATGAGGATCTACTTATCATCACATATCAGTCATTTGCTTCCAAAACCCAAAGCTCGGTGGCCACCGAGAGGCCCGGTCTGTCAAACATGTGATAGCCATCAAATGACTCTTACGTGCCCAAAGGAAGAGCAGTCAATGAAACAAAATGGCTCCCTTTGCTCAGTCATTGCCGGCAATTTGGCCGAGGTTTCCTTGGCAACGCAAACTTGGTTTCTCGCTGAGGACGAGCGGAGACGCTGCTGTTGTAACATCCAGCAGCAACAGCCTTGATTTTGTTTTCTCATCAGTTCTGTCCTCGGCGTCAGCAGGCGTGATTGTAGTAATGCGGAGCGGCTTATTCATCTCACTGCTGCGAAAACAGACACCATCTCTGGTCTTCACACTCCAATAAAGAGGTTGCACTTAGATTTGTGGGTTATTTCTTTAGTTAAATTGCATCTGGGTGCCGTTTAAAACATTCACAAGTTGTTTTTTTTGAACAGGGAAAGTGCACCTTTTTTTTTTTTTAGCTCTCACAGTGAGCAGTTCTTTGGACGGAGATAATTTTATCATTAGATCTGAGTTTTTGGCCGGAGTCGCTGCTGTTTTTATGCGATAGTGCGGCCTCAAAGAGGAACTGCCAGGATGTTGCTGAGGAAATTGTGCTATTAGGCTGGTTCACTGGCTCAGAATAATTTCTATGTTTAGACGAAGAGACCAGAGGTGCATGTGTGTCATCTGATGCACAATGTTCTCTTTCTGCAGCAGATAGAAGGAGAGCGTCAGTCCAACGTGGTATTATATATAGAAGGCAATGAATCTTACAACCTGTTGCGAAATATGTTGCTTCTGTTTGTTTGCTCACAGGATATAAAGACGATAACCAAGTGATAATATTGATTTCACAGAGGAGGAAAAAGTCGTCCTAGTTTTGCGTGATTAAATGTGTGCAGGCTTTCTCTAAATATCACATCATATATGCACTGTAAAAACAAAGTCCGTTAAAACAGTGGCAGCAAGGGCGTCAAAGAGGTGTTAAAAAATTGAAAAATAATATCTAAAAATATATAAATAATCACTTTTCATCTGTTTAAAATACAGTAGAACTATGTGATTTTACTGTCACATATTGTAAAAACAATAAAATTAAATAAAAAAATTGTGAAATAAAACAAATAAATTGGTTTTGGACATTGTTTATAGTAAACTTGTAAATTTATTTTTTTTCGATGATTTTGTCACTACATGTTGTCTGTAATTTAACAAAACAGGAAATATCTAAACTTAATATTTTTAACATGATTTACTGTGTTTAGTCCTTTCAATCTACATCTCTCTCTTTTTTTTTCCCCCGCTGATTTAAATACAGTAAAAATTGTGTAATTTTACAGAAAAACTTTTTAAAATAATTATTTGTCATTTTTTTCTATCCTTAATAGGCTTTTTTTTTAAATTTCTTTATTTATTTGTTTGTTTTCCAGCCAACATTTTCTGCAGTGAATTTTTTAGATATTATCTATAATTTAACAAAATAAAAAAATAAAAAATAATAACAATAATGATAATACTGATAAATTATATTTAGCAAAAACTAAAAAGAATGTAAAATTATACTTTTTGTCTCTGCTGTTCTACTTGATATTATCAGTAATTTAACAAAATAGGGACAATCTATAAAATCACAGTATATTGTTTTAGAAAATGACACTTAAATACTGTTCCAGTGTTTGCGGTTTCAGTATCTGGTTGAATGTGTGAGCTGGCAAATCATTAATTTACTCCAAACCTGTGGCAGCCCAGCTATGCCATCAAAAATCCATGTTATTTACGTGCACGTGTTGCTTTGTGTTGCTTTATTCTCGGGCATCAGATAAGATGTTCTCTTTACTTGGTCAGGCATGAGTGACCTTTATGGAGGCCTTTCAGTCGGAGCCCTCCAGTCAGCCTCCATTTCAAACAAGCCACTGCTTATCAGTAACCTATTACTTCTCAGCCGGCTCGCTCGGTAAACACTGGCTCAGGCATTCGCCATAACTATGTACACACTTTGAAAGACAGTGAGCGAAAACACAGATATCCCAAACTTTAAAGTCTTGCAGCACATTTTGTCTTCATCTGGCAGGTTTATGAGGAGCTGTGTTTATGTCGTCTGGCTCTCCTCTCCGAAAACAAAACGGACAGTTCAGCTGCATTTTTTCATGTCCCGCGGAATTTCAGGCAGGTTGTTGGGAATAAGGGAACCAAAAAATCCGATGTGTCATCTGAGCCACAATGGCGACTTTCTCCCGAGTTGGATATAAGTGTGTGTGGGTGTTTATTCTCCTCAAGCCAGCTGAGCTAATGCGATTGTGTTTAATGCGCTCCTTACATATCCCTGAGCAAAACACATCCACCCTGTTATTGACTCTGTCTGTTTGGGGACAATAAATAATGCAAATCACATTTACCTGCCACGGAGAAATATGTGAGGAACGGAATTCCTAGGTGTTTGTGCGTGGCGTCAACAAACATATTTAGTGAGGCTTAATTCTTTGTCAATGATCTTGGGTCTAGAATTCACTACGAGCCACATTAGATGTTTAATTTGTTATTTTTATTTTCGTCAGGTAATTATTATATTGAAGGTTCGTCAATCATATAGCAGAAGTGATCCCTGGAGATGTTGTCTTGCACTACCTTTCTCTTCTGGATTCAAGCCAGGAGACGTCCAGGTCATGGTTGATTTTGTGCTCTGGATGGTTCCCATGCTGAAATATTCCTCTTCTTCAAGCTTCTGCAGACTGGGAGTCATCTTGTCAGGTTTATCCAGACATTCATGGTGCATCTATGAACATCATCTCCCCCCCAACACCTTGTGCAGCTCCATATCATCACCCTCCTTCCTCTGCTCTTCACTGTCAGGACTGTGCATTCACTGTGGTAGCGCTGATTAGCTTCACACCAAACCTGATGGAAACAATCTGAACAAATGTATCTTGGTTTCAGCTTTGTTCGTGGTGTTTAGCCAAGTCTCACCTGGAGGATGGGATCTTTTTTGGGATGCTACCATAGAAGTTGATGTTATGAAGTGTCCGTCACACTATCTGAGCTGTCACAGAAACTCTGATTTCCACTGATAACCGCTGTGCCACGTCTGTAGCAACTGTTTTTTTAGAGCTAGATTACCTCCTGTGGAGTAATTTTCAGAGGACGACCACTGCAGCTCTGATTAGTGGTACTATGGCTCCTTCTAAACCTCCTGATTACGGCTGCATCTGGTTTTTTTTAGTTGCTCTTCCTTCTTTATGAAGTTTTGCGATCAGGTTTTTTTCGGTTTCTCTGTTCAGTTCTTTTCCATGTGGGAGCCACGATGCAGATAGATACAGTCCATGAAGAAGTTCTGGTGTTCAGAGCTCATTTTAGAAACCATGTTCATACTGTTAGGGGGATTAGAAATCACGAATTTTGTTTCACTAATCACAGGTGTATTCAGTTTTGTTGCGCTGAGTTTCTTCTTTTGGGCCTTTATTTTCAGGAAAGTATTTGTCTTTGACTCGAGTGTTCATCGTTTAACTTTTAAGTGATGTTGCACAGCTGTATACTGTAACCCTGATATTAGTACCGATAGTTTTATTTCTCAACAAGAAAGGACTTTACCTCAGCCTCCGTTCTTAAAAAAGTGTTATATAAATACTGACATATCTATATCTTATGGCTGCAAGGTGGCTCAGTGGTTAGCACTGTTGCCTCACAGCAAGAAGGTTGCCAGTTTGCGACACCCGGGATCTTTCTGTGTGGAGTTTGCCTGTTCTCCCCGTGCAGCGTGGGTTCTCTCCGGGTTCTCCAGCTTCCTTCCACAGTCCAAAAAGATGTTAATTGGTGATTTAAAGTTGTCCATTGGCAGGGGACACCCTAAGTCAGCTGGGATAGACTCCAGCACCCCTGCAACCCTAGTGAGGATTAAGCGGGGTAATTGATATTGGATGAACCATCTTAACCATGCTTATCTTCCTTCAGGTGGTGTGGGCATCGCCGCCACTCAGCTGTGCAAGACGGTGAAGGATGTGACCGTGTTCGGCACCGCGTCAGCCAGCAAACACGAGACCATCAGCCAGGGTGGAGTCACGCACGCCATCGACTATCGTACCAAGGACTATGTGGAGGAAGTCCGCAAGATCAGTCCGAAAGGTGAGAAGAATGAGTCGTCTGTGCTCTAAATTTGGATTTTTCTGTGTTTGGACACGTGCAAGTGTAAATACTATGAAATAAACTCTCAGTAAAGTCAAGTTTTACGGTAATGTGCATGTTCTCCGGTGAGAATAATAGTCCGGCTCGATGTATTCCCACCAGCACAAAGCAATACCGAGCGAGCGCAGCGTTTGGTGATGAGCGTTGAGCAAACTGCAGACAGCGAGATGATACATTTTCATACAGTTTCCCTGCAGAGTTGGCTGACATGTGCACTAGACTGACAACATGCAGGGAGTCATTTTTCCCAACCGAGTAGACTCATTTTACTGACAGTTTGGATTCTCGCCGCCACAAAAGAAAAATGTAGATGAACTCGCTAAGATAAAAAAACACTGCTTTTCTGCAAAATGAAACAACGTCCAGCTCCTGCTCCTCCTTCCTCCTGCCGCCGCGTTATTATGCCGGAGGCTCATTTCGTAGTCTCCAGCTCATCTCTGTTCTTTGTAGCATCCAGTGAGACGGACAGACATTACAGAGACAGATAGGAGGAGAGCGAGAGCTGACACTTTGGACAGAGTGTATCTAATTAGAAGCCTGGATCAATGTGCAGCCCTGCCTGCTACCTTTTCCCCTCTCCGTCAATTCATCTGTGCTGTGGTCAAGACGGAGTCCTGCTGCGAGCCTCCCGACGATCAATAGGACCGGATTTAACGGAGCGAGGAGGGGTAGCCCAATTTGAGGAGTCCCCTCTGGCACAAAGGAGCATCATTAAGGCCGAGCACTACGTGGTCAGACATTAATAAGCCCAACAAAGGCCTGAAAGTCCTTATTTTACAGTTTAATTTACATGTTAAGTGCACAAAAAAAAAAAAATCAGACCTATTTTAGAGATATTTGCCATTTATTGGAAGAAGAAAAAACAAGAAGACGTAATTTAATTTTTCTTTTTTTTGTTAAATTACCAGTCATGTCTAATAAAATCATATAAAAGTTGTCCTTTGCGAGTTGATTTTTTTTTTTAAAATAAGAGGAAATGATGTCTACCTTAAACAATGCTTTTATAAATTATATTTTTTTCTTTTGCAATGTTTGACGGTGACATTAAACTAAAATTTACTGTATTTAAATCAACAAATAATGTTATTTTACAAATATTTGCAATTATTATTATTATTACAAATATTAATTTGTTTGTTTTACAGTGTTTGATGGTGAAATTACATTATCATTTACTGTATTTAAATCAAAATGCTGCTACTTTACAAATATTTGCCGTTATTTGGAAGAAAAAAAATGTTTTTAAACTATTATTTTACATTTTTTTTCTTTGTTTTGTTAAATTACCAGTAAAATCACAGAAAAAATGGTCATTTACAATGTCTACACTAGACACTACTTTTATAACTGGTAAGTTTTTCTTTTGCAATGTTTGGAATCACATTATCATTTACTGTATTTAGATCAAAATACTGTTACTTTACATATATTTGCCATTATTTGGAAGAAAATGCTCAATAAATATTTCTCAAACTGATATTCTACAGACTTCCCTAGTTTTGTTAAATTAAACTATCTGGTAAAGTCACAAATAAAGTATGAAAGCATGTTGATATTAGACAATAAACAGACCCTCCATGTCGGGACATTAATAATCCTCAGAGGAACCTTGGTCGTCAAGCTGCCGTGTCTTTACCATCTGCTCAAGTTTGTTATTCCGTCCGCTCAGGATGGAGCGGACACTGATAGAGGGGCGTTTCATCCCTCTTGTCTTATCAGCGACAAGAATGAAAACACATAAAAGCGAGCAGGACCTCCTCCTCTGCTCTCTTGGTGTAAACATGGCACAACTTGGCTACAACTGTCCGCTGGGGCTGAACTCTGGCATGCAGGGGAGGCTGCTGAGGAGACTTGGCAGGCTGCTCGTTCTGAATTCACACCGTTGATAACTGTCCCCTTCTCCTCCTCCTCTTCCTCCTCCTTCTTCTTCCTCTCCCTCCTGCTGCAGGACTCGACATTATCCTGGACCCTCTGGGGGGATCAGACACCCATAAGGCCTACAACCTGCTGAAGCCCATGGGCAAGCTGATTACCTATGGTGAGTAAGAAAACAGATCCATCACCTGTCAGAAGTTCTCAGCAATTCAGAATTTTTAGTGATATAAAGCAGTCATCTAGAGCCTTCCTCTGAAGAACATCACTGTAAATAAGTAAATTAAAACATACAAATTTAAATACAGCGCAGAAATGGTGCATGTGCAGACAATTTCAATATATGTTTTGCAGAAAAATAGCATATTATTATTATTTTTATTATTACCATATTGCTTGCAGATTTTTCCTAAATTATTGAGATGACACATTTTCAATATTTTTTATTTTTTGTTGTTATTTCACTGTGTTTTATTTACAGGTTAAGCGTAAAAAATCTGGCTAAAACTGTAAAAAAAAAAAAAAAGAAAAAGAAATATATATATATTTAAAATCTGTCCTTTTACAAATAATCATTTGTTCTTCTACAACGTGTTGACAGTGAAATTACAATATTATTTACTGTATTTAAATCAACAAAATATTTTTACTTTATTATTTGCTATTGCTTGGAAGAAATAATACATATATTAAGTTTTTTTTTTTTTAAATGACAATGAATCTTAGGCTGTTTTCCTCTGTTTTGTAAAATTACAAATAATATCTAATAAAATCACAGAAAAAGAAAAAACATTACCTGACACATTGATTTACAAAAAAAAAAAGAAAGAAAGATAATAATAATAAATAAAAACAGGCCAAAACTGTAAATAATGTCCACATCAAAAGTCTGTCATTTTATTTATTCATTTTTTAACAAACTTTTATCATTGTTTAAAAGAACATTTCTGATATTATGAAGTATTGAAAGGTGGTAAATAATTGTGTCAATAATTCTATGACAGATTTTGTTTTCTTAAACTACAGATAATATCAAAAAAAGGAGAAGAAAACAATTTTTTTTAAAATATTGTCCACATCAAGAGTCTATTTTTTAAAATTTATTATCAATCATTTGTTCTTTTACCACATTTGACAAAATATAAATGAATAATGGCACCTTTTATTTAAATCAGCAAAAAATAAGGCTATATTGCAGATATCTACTCTTGTCTGAAGGAAAATTAGTGATTTATAAATTATTATTATCTGTCAAAATCACTCAAACTTTCTGGCCTCCTTGCTGCTGAATTTTCCCGTTTTTTTTCCAGTGTAGTCTACATGAAATCTGTGTGCGTTTCACACTTGCCGCAGAGCGAAGCTGCTTTCTGGTGGGCAGCGTGGCCTCTCTGCAGAGGTCCGTGTCCTCACTGTGCTGTGTGTCATCCGTGGGAAGCCCTTTACGCTCGCTCTGTTGCGATGCCAATCTGGAAGCGGCATACATGCGGTGGGCGGGGTCGGCATCCACGGAGAACAGGGCCTTGCCTTTGCATGTTGCACAGAAAGCTACTACCCAGCATGGTGCCCTCCACCCTCGCCCATTCACCCGCTCTTCCCCCTACAGAAAACCCACCCTGCTGGTCCCTCCGTGCCCGCTGCTTCTCTTTCAGCTTATCAGAAGTATGCACGGCCGAACAATGGCCATTCTATCCTCACCGAACCTGGAATGTGTCTGAATGTAGCAGGCTGGGTCCCTCTCTCCTCTCAGAGCAGGCTTTGTGTCCCCTGGTTCCCCCAAGAGAGAGAGAGAGAGAGAGGCTGTGAAGGCAGAGGAGGCGATGGGAAGGGGATGTGGTGACAGCTGAAGTGCTAAAGAGGCTTTTTAAAGGTGGAAGGTGGAGGTGAAAGGGCGAGAGTGCAGGGAGACAAAGGAGGAAGAAACAAATAAACCACAACAAACAAGCTGAGGGACCTGACGCAGCTTCATGTCACCGATTCATTAAACCTATAAGAGGTTGGGGTTTTTATTTGCTTCTGTCACATTTTCCTTCAGGGAGAGCTCATTTTTCACTGCAATACAAAGTCCTGCACCTCTATGGAAACAGCACAACCATGACTAGACAGAGAGAGAACTCAGAGATGTCTTCTATGATTGAATTTCCTTGATTATTTATTGTACAAAACCTGGAATCAACATGAGCAACATTTTTATTTTAAGTGCCCAGAGGTGCTACCAATGCTGCTAAAAAAAACAGTAGATAGCTCTACATACTATAAATATTTGACTACTTCATTTTTAGTTTGTTTCCATATTTGTCTCCACTGTGTGAACACTGCCTGCAGTTCAGCCAAAAAGTCCCTGAATTTTTATCTGCTGTCTATTTTTGGCCTACGTTTGGTGACTGAATGGCGCATGTTTAGTCAGAGGGCCTAAAAAAACAATATTCTTTCGGTTTGTACAGATTCTAGTTCAGATAAATGGTGTCATTTGTCATTTGTTTTAAAGATAACGTGCTTTCCAAACCTACTGGCAGATCTCAGTGTTCATAGGTTTAACTAGACCCTTCTAAATACCAGAGATACTTTATTTATAATGACCAAAAAAACAGACAAAATGGCAAATCCTTACATGTGGACAGGACTGCAAATAAGAATTGTAGATCACGTTCTATATAGTTTGGATTATAAAATGTACGAAAACTGTGGAAAAAATGTCCATCAGTGTTTCCCCAAGATGACATCCTCAAGTATCAACCTAAAAATATTAAATATATAAATAAATATTCAAATTAAAGAAGCTGGATTTTCAGCTTGATTCATGAATTAGTTGTTTGTTTTGTAAAATGTCAGAAAACGGTGAAAAACATCAGTCAGTGTCTCCCAAAACCCCAAAGGATGTCCTCAAACATCCACAACCTAAAGATCAAATTCAAGAGGCAGGAATCTCACCAGCAACTTTATTAGCTTTACAAAAAAAGTCTCATATTAATTAATCAATTAGTTGTTTCATCAAGTTGTCAGCAAATGGTGACATCTTCACTTTTCCAAACATAACATCTTCAAACATCTTGTTTTGTCCACAACCCAAAGATATTCAATTTACTGTCATAGAGGAGGAAAGAAACCAGAATATATCTACATTTAAGACGCTGGAATCAACAAAAACACACAATCGAAAGACTTTCTCTTCCAGGCAGCAGACATTTAGACTCTTTCTGTCTTTTCCTTCCCCGTCAGGTGCTGCTAACATGCTGGCGGGCCAGAAGAAGAACCTGATCGCTGTGGCGAAGAACTGGTACCACCAGTTCTCCATCCACACGCTCAGCCTGATCCAGGGCAACAAGTCGGTGTGCGGCTTCCACCTGGGCTACCTGGACGGGGAGACGGAGCTCATCTCCCAGGCCATGAGCACCGTCCTGGACCTCTACAAGCAGGGCAAGATCAAGCCCCGCATTGATTCCACCTGGCATCTGGAGCAGGTTTGTGTTTCCGTTTCCCTATCTATGCTCGGAATTATCATTTGTCTTGTGTGAGGATTACGTCTGGGTTGATTACATTCTGCATTCTCTCCTCAGCAGGGCTGGGAGATATGATGATAAATAATGTGTGGTGATACGCTGCTGCACTGTTTTCACCAAGAAAGACCAGTTTGACGTCCCTGATTGGATTAGGAGATTGCAAGCGGAGTTGTACTGCCCTTTACGTCAATTAACCAGAACATTAGAACCACATGCCTAATATTGTGTAGGTTTTGTGCTCCATTTGGGAATGGACACAACTCTTATGATCTGGCACCAGAATGTCGGATCCTTTGGGTCCTGTGGGTTGCAGGTTGGGGCCTCCATAAATCTGATTTGTTCCAGTGCATCCTGTACATGCCATAAGATTGGTATCTGGGTAGTTTGCAGATTAAATCAACACCTAGAGCTCTTGGTCCTGTTCCTCCAGCTGCAGCAGGACAATGTTTTTGCAGTGTTGCTTGGAACATTGTCCTGCTGAGGGAGGCTGCTGTCATGGAGGGGTGTATGTGGTCGGCAACAATTATAGATGAGTGTCCCTAAGCATCTTTTTCTGCATTATGTTTTGTAAATAGAAAGGTTTTCATATCAATATATATTAGACAACACATGCAGTGATACAGATATATCTGTGATGTTATAGAGACGGCAAAATACGCCTTGGTTTGTTGGTATTTCTTTAAACCAATCACATTGTATTGGGCGGAGTTAAACCCAGGATGCAGTGATGGTGTCCCCTCATAATAGGGAAGGGGAAAAGTAAAGGGGCTGATTTGCATAGCCGGACCATTCTCTAGCACAGTGCAGACCGGTCTGGCTGCATCTTATTACTATTCTGCTATAGGGAGGGACAAATACGCTCTGGGTTGTTTGTGTTTCTTTAAATCAGTCATAGTCGTATTGGGCGTTGCTAAGCCCAGGATGCAGGGCTGGTGTCCCCTTAAAACAGGGAAGAGGAGAGTGAAAGAGCTGATTCATGGCACAGCATTAACTTTCGGCAAAACTTGGAGTTTTCAGTGTCATAGATTGCTGCTTGGAGGTTGTTATTTCCTGAAGCACAAGGATATTTAGAAAGGGAAGGAAAATATTGCATGAAATGAGTGACCAATGGCAGGTTTATACATAAGTCTTCGGTGAGTCAGACTAATCCGTGATTTGTCGGTATTGTCTGATATATCGATTAGGTTCTTCATGTTTTGTCTGACTGGATAATTCGAGCCAAAAACTGTCATTTTCATGTTAATTTAATTAAGCTGAATATTCGCTATGGCAGTGTACTGTTTAACATATCGTTTTTCGATTCTCTTTGCAGCTGACATGGTTAGTTTTCCAATCTGTCGGTAAAAGCACTTCATTTGCACATTTTCGTTCTAATGTCCTTTTTGGCTGAATCCACATTCAAGAGTGATTTCTGCATTTGGATTCCAGCTTCATTGTCTCCTGATTGTCAGCGTGACTAAATCCATCCCCGTGCGCTTTAATTCGAATGACCAGATGATTCAACGTGACACCAGTCGCATTTCCACCTGAATTACGTGCATTTTCACGCCACGTGCTCGCAAACCCGGACAAATACCAGGTGTCTGCGTTTTGTCAGCGGGATCTGCAGGAGCTGGGTGTGGTCCTGATTCAATAAAGCCTCGCATTCAACAGGCCAAGTTTGTCCACTGAGAAAAGCGCTGTGTCTCCTCGAAGCATAACTCACTCAGTCACTCTCTCAGCCAGACAGACTCAGATTGTCGCTGACAGAATTAACACTGCGAGCAGATATGAATAGAGAGGGTGTGAAAAACACAGATAGAAAAGAGGGAGTCCGAGGCTGACATCTTCTGTTGTCAAAGTCGGTGTCGGTCAGTCGGCGTTTTGGCCTGAGAGAAACACCCGCTGTCTTTCTCCGCCATCTGACACTTCTTTCTCTGCCTTCTCCATCTGTCTGCTCTTTATATCAGATTCTTTCTCTCTGTCTTTAGGTTATTGACTCCCTCTCTCTCTCCATCTCGCTGTGTTCTCTCCATCTCCCTCCTCACAGTGTATCTTTTTTGCTCTTTCTCTCTTGTTGCTATGGCGACATCTTTTAGTCAGTGTGTGTCTTAGGGAGGGGCAGCGATGTATGAGAACATGGAGACGAGAGACGAAGGTATATCTGGATTGTAAAGTTGGTGTTTTTTTTTGTTGTTGTTGCATCAAAGACAAAAAAGCTGCCCGACCAGCTGACTGATCACCACGACCCGACGCCACGCCTTGACCCCGTTCGTCACAACCCTTCCCCCCTCGGCTGTTCAAGCGATCGATGAACATGCTTGGAACAATATGTGAAAATTAGCATCATCCTGACTACCACCTCCTCCTGTGGCTCCTCCTGATTCATTATCAGCATCTGCATCGATTCACCCCGGAGGATAACGTCCACAAATAGCTCCAAGATGCCCGGCGGCCACAGAGGTTGACACATCTCTGAAGTGGGTGGAGTCGCTAAAAAAAAAAAAAAAAAAGAGAGACTCGATGTGACTTTCATTCACAGTGAAGATGATTCTTATAATTCCTGGACTCACCCCCTCCGAACTCCCACACTCTCCCCCCCCTCCCTCCCTTCTTTCTCTTTCCCATGTGTCTGAGCCGTCAGGGCCACGTTTCAGCCGGGCTTTACGTTGCTAGGAGATGGCCCTGTTGCCGTGGCATTGGTCGTTAGGTGGTCTGCCTGCCTCGCACAAACAGGGGGGAGGACGGAGGGAGGCGGCGGGGGGATGTGATGGAACAGACAGTGGACAGAGCTCAGTGGTCCAGGGGAGGGTGGGGCAGGTCTGGCTGGGGTTTTCCACTCGTCATCATGATGGAGGGGCGGCGGGGGCAAGTCGGTCGATCCATCACAGCGAGGAGTTTGTCATCGCAAGAGTTTCTCCCCTTAAAGTCTAAAATGTTTGGCTTGTAAAGAAATCTTGACTTTGGACAGAGATCTGCATGTCACAGAGGTTCACACAATGAACCTTTAAAGGAAAGGTCCGTGTTTTCTAAAAAATGAAAGTTTTTAAAGGGACAGTCTTCACGGTCCTATATTTTGGGCTGCACGTGGACATCCGTAGGAGGGTCGTCACAGGCCCTTGTGGACGCTGGTGACTGACGAGATTTACGTCACGGGTCCCCTTGCAAATTCGCATAAAGCATAAATTGGCTTTGACACCGGCCTTATGCTGCCACAGATCTTCCGCCATATGTCCCTCTTACGTCTATCGCCATCAAATGTTGACACAGGTGGCAGCGCCACAAAACGACATCTCGAAGATGCCGGCAACTTCATCAAAACACCAATAATTTGATGCCCTGGGAATGAGAAAGGATTGAAAATACCTGTTTGTCAAACTTGGACTGCTTCAGATTAGCCTAAGCTACATTTTGTAATGCAATGAAACAGAACTTGAAATGAATGATATGCAAAAAAAAGTCATTGGGCGATTTATTTTTTGACAGAAATTGCGATTTTAGTAGTCATGGTAACTTCTGCGTATATATAACAAGAATTTAAATCATGTGTTTTATGCTGCGTGTCCTTACACCTGGAGAACACGCTTTGTAGGTTGGGTCCTGTAAAACCAACATACCTTCTTTATAACGGTACGTTGTGATACATTTGACCGTTATCCAAAAATTGCAGCTCATGGATAACCAGTGCATGTGGCCATATTGCAATTTGGGCAACATTTAAATGAATCGTTTAGCTCTAAGAAGGACTCAGGAATTTGTCCTCAGTGTCTACATTGGAGGGGGTCAGCTGCTGCCACGACAAGATAAGATGTACAGAAACCAAAAAGTGCTTAATTGCATGTTGGCAGGTGAATGTTTTGGATCTATGTCTTAATAATGAGATGTAACGTCGTGTGCTGGCAGGTTTATTGATTGATTCGGCTCTAGTGGTCTTTAGGGCTTAACAATTCACTGACATGTTGAAATCACAATCTTAAGAGCTGCTTAGATGTCATGTTTGTTTCATACAGACTGATAATTTGAAAGAAATGAAAAAAAAATCCCAATAAAAAGTGTCACTAACATTGCAATCGCAACATCTCACAATAATCAGAATATGATGTTTTGTTTGCATATCATTCAGCCCTATAATCCTTTATCAATGGATGACTTGTAATTACGATGAATCCTTGTTGGTGAGCTTGTCCAGTAAACATCTCAAGAGACGTTTTGCAGAATTCAAATTAGAATCATTCTTAAAATCCAGAGACTGAACGTAGACGCCTGAAGCACCTTTCCAGGAAATCCGCCTTATTTCTGTCCTCGCACAGCATGCTAATGTCCAAATGATGTGCTTTTCAAATATATAAACGTGTTGTTTAGGTGAATTGGGGGCATTCTATTCACGACTGTAAAAACATTTCATTATATTTGCACTTAATATTGAAAACGTCTGTTTGCGGCGTGCTATATTCACTCCATTTATTCCATCACCCTGTTACCCTGTTTTATTTGCTGTGCACTGCTACAACGATCTCATTTCCCCTCAAACATTATTAAAGTCTCATCTAAACAAATATAATTTCTCATATGCTGCATATTAAAGTGATATTTGAAGAGCAAGCTGGGGGAAGATTTGTTTCCAGGCTGCGATACCAAAAATGAAGATTAGACTGCAAGGAAGAATATTGAAGTGGAAATGTGTTGGTGGAGAAGACACTGAGATATTTCTTTTTTTTCTTTTGTTTTAAATCGTGTATTTTTTTTGTTCTTCAGGTGGGCGAGGCCATGAGAAAGATGCAGGAGAGGAACAACATCGGCAAGGTGATCCTCACCACGGAGCCGATGCCCGAGGAGGAGAAGAAGGAGGAGGCCAAGAAGGAGGACAAGAAAGAGGACAAGAAGAAGGACGACAAGAAGAAGGAGGACAAGAAGAAGGATGACAAGAAGAAGGACGATGGCAAGAAGGAGGAGAAGAAGGAGGAGGAGCCCAAGAAGGAGGAGAAGAAGGAAGAGGAGAAGAAGGAGGAAGCCAAGAAGGAGGAGAAGTGAGAGGGGGGAGGGATGGAGAGTCGAGCAGACCAGCAGTGAGGGAGGGTGTAACTGGGAGCTGGAGGGGTGAGGAGGGGGTGAGGATGGAGGTGGCGATGCAGACGGATGGGGGGTGGAGGGTGAAGCCAGGGAGTTTAGAAGGACGGGTTAGGAAACGATCACACCATTGTCACGTCTTTCACCTCCCCTCTGCCTCACCTGGGCGGCAGCGATTCCTCAGGCCTGGATCCACCCACTTCCACATCCGCTTGCCTTTTCTAGCATTTATCTCTAAAAAAAAAAACGTAATTCAAACCACTCATAGCCCCTTGAAGGCTCCAAACTTACCCAAAAATCTGAAAAATTGGACACCAAGGCTACACATCATCACCAGCTGAACATGATCAGAGTTCGCTGAACACTCCAGACTTGTTTGATCAATGTGATTTGGCCAAACTACTATATTTAACATGTTTAACACTGATGTTCCATTTTGCAGGCATAAGCTACATGTCCGAGTGTGAGAATATGGTTATATTAGAAACTTACTTTTACACAGAAGGAATCCTGGCTATAAAGCGATGGTGCAGAAAATCCACATTTCTTATCCTGAGCAAAAACATGTCCGTTTAGGGAACTTAAGGCTCAAATATCGTGGTTTTTGTCAAATTTTCTGCCAGAATTTTTTACATAGAATGAAGTTAGTGATCGTACAAAATCAGCTGATTCCGAGGAGGTCAGGTGGGAGGAAAAACGGCCCGTTTCCTCCTATTCAGTGGAGGATTGTGGGTCCAGGACTGAGGGGTGGGAGATAGGTAGGAGGGTGGGTGGGTGGGGGGTTGATATTGCCGTTACCTTGACGACCATAATCCCCACTCCGGCCCCGCCCCTCGACCCCTCATGCCCCTCCGCCACCTTCCTCTCCCACTGTGCTAAATTGTTCTGCTCTGACTTCCACCTGCCGCCTCCACTTCTCCCCCCACCCCTCACCGTGCTGAGTCCCCCCCCAATCTCACCTACCGATCCTCCTCACCCTCCTCACCCACCCACCCACACACACACACACACAAAAACACACACTTCCCACACCCACGCACCCACGGGCCGAACCCACCGACAGGCACAAAGGCAGGCAGATAAACGGAGAACCACACCCACCCACACTCTTCCTCGGCGTCTCGGTTATGTCACCGAGGATGAGTCAGACGCCTGTGATTGGCCGACGCGCCCCCCGGAGATATTGGCATCACGGTTTTTTCTGATCATGATGTTTGCTCCGAGGCCTTGGAGTTTACCGGTTAAGCACCAAAAAAAATTTTCTGTGAAGTTACCACAGCAGCTGCTTGAATATGAATTATTTCCCTCATAATGAGCCTTTTCAGCGCCGCGTTGAATAGCTGATGCAGAAAAATCATTGCTCAGCTTCCTTTCTCCATAGCTACAGATTTTTTCTAGCCGACCAACTGTTGGCAAGAGGCGCGCGGTGCCAATTAAGAGAGTTTCTGTTCAAACGAGCCACAAATACACACAACTCCGAATGAAAGAGGCACTGTCACGTCGAGAGACAGTGAAGCGTCTGAAATGAGCACGTTAAGAAGGTGAAAACCAGTTTTCGCTCTGTGTTTTTTTTCTTCTCCTCCTCGAGGCTTTCAAGGCGACCTGAGAGAGGAGGATTCAGCTCAAGCCGGCGTCCATACTTCGCCTTCCCCTCCTCTCTCTCCCCCTTCTTTCCATTTCCCTCTCTATGGTCGGCATAGCAACAGGCGTCAGAGATGGCACTGTTGCTCCGACTCCCTCCTCTCCCTTCGTCTCTCTTTTTTTTTTTTTTCTGCTTTCCTGACTCTGTATTCGGCAACAGGTGTAAAACGTATTAAGAATTTCTGACGATTGAAAAAAAAAAAAAAAAAAAAAAGAGCAGCAAAGATGAAGCACTTTTTAAAGGAATGTGCAATTACTGATTTATTCCTGACAATGTGTGCTGGCGAAAATAGCGCACCGCTCCCCCTAATGGACAGTAGAAATTCTTAGTATTTCATCACAGATCCTCCTGGGTGGTCTCTCAATCTGTCATGACACAAACCTCACGTGTTTGTCTACCTGCCTCCGCTTGTCTCTGAGTCCGGCCTTAGTGTTGAGACTCAGATGGTGACTAGTGACTTTGTAAAAAACAAACAAAATAAAAAAATGTATGAAAAAAAAAAAAAAAAAAACGAGTGGAGAAAAAAAAAAAGTTGTTGTGTTAGCATGAGTGGCCTCCCCTCATGTGCTGTGTGTGGTGTGCCATTGTGTGTGAAGACGTGTGTGTCCTCAGGTCTATGTCAGGTTTTAAAAAGCACCCAACCTTCCTACCAACCCCGACATACCCCCCTCCCCTTCCTTTACACTACTCCAGCTACAGTATTATGTAGCTCCAAACCGCCCCCCCCTCTTCCCATTCTTACTCCTGTCTGATAAGAGGCCTGTGTTTTACGAGGACAGTTGGTATTAGTATTTTGCACTCTGCTCGCTGATCTTAATGCACTTGCAAGCATGGCGGTCGCACTCCGAGTCCCACCTTGAAGAGAGCTTCTGCAGCCCCATCATCATCCACTCACAGCTGAAAGCACAGGTGGCACAAAAAAAAAAAAAAAAGAAAAAAGCTCACCCAGGCCAACTTTCTCCTCCTGGGTGGCAGCTAAAAAATCAATGCATTCATGCATCCTCGGCTGTGGGAAGTAAAACGTGGTGGTGGAGGCCGGAGTGCGACCGCCACGCTGGTTGTGGGGAGTGATTGTGTCCTGTCAGCCTCCTGGTTAGTGTTCTGTTCTAATCTGCTGGGCTCCCTTTGTGAACCTGTGGACGGTGCTTCTGTTCCAAGTGCCATGTGAGAAACAAAACGCTTCAGTTACAAAAGAAAAAAAAAAGAAAAAAAAATTTAAAAAGATGTTTTACTTACTATGTTATTTTAATTTACCTTTATATATTTTTTTTTTTGTTCGTTTGTTCGTTTTGTTATCCAAGGGTTTAAAGTTCAAAGCTCATACTCTATATGTGGGGACCTGCCAACCTGCACTCCTTTTAAATGTGACTTTCTGTTGGTCCGAACCATGTGTGCCAAATGTATATTCCTCTGTCGATGCTTTGAATATTAACAGTGCATAAAAAAAAAATATGAAGAATAATTCTGTTTTTTTTTTGGATGCATTTTCCGTCAACCTTGAAGAAAATATGAAAAACCGAGTCGTCACAGTGTGTCAGATTTGTATCCCAAAAAAAGGTCACGGGTGCTGACAGAATTTTTTGCTGCAGTTTACACAAAAAAAAAAGGTTGAACACAATTTGTACGTTTTTTTGGATTTGGTTGCAGTCTTGCTCCAGCGTAGGCCTGCACTGTGCCTCTCTCTCTCCTCGCACACAGCTTACCTCAATCCGAGGCCCCCCTTCTATCCTTTTCACTGTGTTTTACCAGCTCTCGCATCGTGTCAAACCACGACTTGGTGGTGTTTACAACTTTTAATATCAGTATCACAGTGAAAAGGACCCGGACAAGGTGCATTCAAGACTCCACCAAAAGACGTATAGGTTCACTAGAAAATCTCCATGGTATTCCTCTCTATGGATTTCTGTTTTTTTTTTGTTTCCAAAATGGTTCCTATGACAAGCGAGGGAGCAGATGTTTTCACACAGCTGTGCAGGGCTGCCAATACTGTAACACAGCTGAACAAACCCCCCCACCACCACCTCCTCCTGCTTATTGGCTGATCGCAGCTCAGCCTCGGCCTGCTCCAGACACAACATTTCCGCTTTACAGCTGATCTTAGTTCGCTTTAAGGATTGTTAGAGTCCTTCCTCTTCTCCTGTGATGCATCTGCAGAGCCAAAAACTCCATATCAGCCCCTTTCCCTCTGCATAAAATAAAACATCACATCTGGAATTTGAAATTGCATGCATTCATGTGCATGTGGAAAACAGATTATAATCCTGTTTTTTTGGTTTCTTTTTTATGCTTTCAACATCCTCCCCTCTTGGCTCTTTAGCGCTAAGATGCCTTTGAGATGAACTCAATCAGCGGGGCGGGTGTTTCATGTCTGGTTCAAACTGAAGCCCACCCCTCTTTCTACTTTGACCTGCCGTCTGAGAGCTTTTCCATCATCTTGAAACGCTTTCCCAGCCATTCCAGACACTTATGCAAGAGTACTTAGCAACTCAGAGATGCACCGGAGACAAAACAGTGTTTCAAAGTACAAATACACAAATCTTTCTGAACCTTTGCAGTTTTAGATTTGATAGGACTTGATTAACACTCATAGTTTTAGCTCTGAAAACCACAATGAGTGTAGTATTTCCAATAGCTTCTGTCTGTCTTGGCTTGTAGCTGAAGTCCTTCACAGGCGCCCACCGTTCAGCTCTGAGGTGAATTTCGTTCTTTTATATGGTTTCTCAGGTCATTCCAAACAGCAGTTTTCCTCATGTAAGAAACCACTTATCTTTGCATTTACTAACACACACATCATTGTTTCACTGAGTTCACTGCACAAACTGTCACACCAGTTTTCCGTCACGCCATCCATGTTTGATGTAAGCTTTAGTATTCCGAGTCAAACGGAGAGGACCCGTCAGTGGCTTATTTCCAATTTCCGAGCCGCTGCGTTTCGCTCGTCCACACTGAGAACCCAAACAGCCACATCTGCCTGCAGCTACTGTTTCGTTAGCAGCCATTTCTAAAGGTGATGCAATGCAGCAGCATTGCAGAGATGCTAAGAAAGTGCAACCTGGCTGGGCTTGTCATGTACAGTACTAGAATGCATGTTTAGTCAGTTAGAAAATAAGGCATGTGTGTATGTACAGCTCACTGTCTTTTTCCATGTTAGTTTAGTCGTCATGTAGTGGTTTGGTGTGAAGGAGGCGAATGCCAGTCCGCTGCCCCCCCCCTGTGCCACCTGTCCTCACCTTCAGCATGGGCACTGCCAGCTGGTATACTCACGAGACATCTTAACCGAATCTCTGGGAATGCTTCAGAAACACATCCATCCCGCTACACAACTCCTGTTAGAGTTCAGTCGCCGCTGGTAATTTCCTACAAGGCATACCCAACAGGTTGACTTCTAGATCTCCTTTACTCTGTCCTTCCTTGTGTTGTTCTATTTTATTTGATTTTTTTTTTTGTTTTCCTGGTTGCAAAACACACTTCTTCTCGTCTCGACTTTGTTTTTTAAACCCTTTGAATTGATGCTGCTTCTGTGCTTGACTCTGGGTTTACTGCGTGGTGCCATGTTGTCCACATGGCCTTTAGAGCTTGTAACGCTTCAGTGTGTAATGTTACCATATGCCTTACATGTTTTCCAGGACTAATAAAAAAAGCATAACAAAAAAAGACAGGGAATGTGTTTTTTGTTTTTATTTGTGTACCCATTAAAAACTGAGATTTCTACAAATATTAACATTTTTAATAACTATACCATGATTCCAACCACCTGGACGGTACAAAACGTCTATCTGTAGAGTATAAAAAACACTGTAAAAAAAAAAAAAAAAGTGTGAAGTAATGCAAACAGTGATTGCTGGTCACTTAAATTCTGAACCTTTCTTAAAAGAAAAACAATTGTGTAAAAGGTTGTAAAAAAATTTATAAAATCTGCCCTTATCTGAAAGAGATTTGAGTTACAAAAGACTTTTGAACAATCAAAATGCAACACTATTAATCAAAATACAATTTCAGTGCAAACTGCTTTAAACATAAAATTAAAATGCATATATAAAAACCAACATTGGAACTCCTTCTCTGCATTTTTTTATTCTTGAGACTTGGTTGCCGGATCCTCAATCCCTTTGGAGGTCAAGACCTCAGACAAGCGCGTCAAGTAACTGGAATCCGGGTAACCGCTCCTGAAACAAAAAGAAGACTGTTCATCTCAGATACATGGACTTAGTGTTTGTGACCTTTAATTCTGGAGCTCTGTCAGATGTCCTCTCTGGCCTCACTCACCCTGATTTGCCTCCCTGTAAGCTGGTCTTGTGGGGGATGCAGTCCCAGGTGACCCTGGCCTTGGCGTCTTTGCCTGTCACGGTGAAGGTGAGTCCCTGCCGGAAGGCTTTCTCCAGCCGGGGCACCAGCCTCTTTGCCTTCTGGTTGTCAGGAAGGTAGGCTTCAAATGTTCCTCCTTGAAATGGCTTCCCAGGAGACGGGTGACCCTCCTGGGAGGATAGAAAGCAAAGACCGCAGTCATGATGAAAGTCTTTGGATGTTGTCATGTATGCACTAAAAGCAAAGTCATCCAGGTCACCAGGTCATTGTAATCCTAAGAGCATCACTGGAATGCAACTCAACGTCACTTTTTGGTTGTTGAAGATGTTTCACCTTTAGTTCAATGGAGAGTCTTTTACACAAATATACATATATATATATATACTGTCATCCCCAAATCACATGACAAAACCCCCATTAAGGACCCAAGACTTGCATGTATCGAGGTGTGAATGGTGATAAAACTTAGTGCCTTATAAGTACCTAATAAGTCGTGCTTCCAACTTCATCCTCTGTTTAGAGATGGCTGTTCAGGTTTAACATAAATGGATTCCTTCACTGTCCAGAATGTGAACATGAGACAGTGGAGAGGCACTATGACACCACTTATCAGGTACTTTAACAATAATTTATTGAGATCCCACCTCAGGCAGGCTGATGAAACTTCCTGGGTAGGAATCTCAGGAATGCACTTGTTAGTAGCGGCATTGGCCTCTTTCCCTGTTTAAAGATGGCTTCCTTAATTACCCTTTACTATGTTAAACTACCTACACAGAAGAGGTGGTCTACAAAATCCCTTACTAGGTACTTATGATGCAGTCCTGACGTCCCTCCCCAGACAGTTTCACCACCATTCACACCTCAATACATCCAAGGGTTGCTAAAGGGCCATTAGCCATCTGATCTGGAGTTGATAAAATGCATCTGAAGCCTCCAACCAGTTAACTAGAACTGACAAAGCCTCTTGGATAAGCAGTACCTGTAAGCGCTGCCTGGTACTACAGACAGAAGGAAATCAAGAAACATGTGCAAAACTGTAAAGTTTTAAAGTCCTCCTCCAGTGAAATAAAGTTTTTCATCTCGTTAACACATCCATATGATGTTTTTAATTTGGTATTTCTACTTTGAAACTGCAGCCGAATGATAACTGCCTCAAATTTAGACTTTTCACAAGTAACAAATCTAGGAGTGGAGGGTGGAGCTTTTTATATCTTTATTCTGCAAAATCATTCTTGTGAATTGCTGAATTACTCTAAGATTAGGCTTGTCATTGTGTAAAGTGTTTTTACAATGTTTGAGCTGAAGTGAAGGTGAGCTGGTGTGCTCGATCTGTAGCGGAGCGACTTCATAAATCTGCACATTCTAGAGGAAGGATCTCCAACTCCAGTCCTCGTGAGCTAACGTCCTTAAGGTTTTAATGTGAATCAGGTGTGTTGCAGTACGGGAACATCTAAAACCTGCAGGACAGTAGCTCACGAGGACCGGACTTGAAGATCCCCGTTCTAGAGGAAGCAACAGCATAGAGTTACATCTAACAGATTTTAAGCCAGAAAGAAATTACTTTCATGGAAACAAACTTAGAAATATTTAACTCTGCTACACAGAGATGAGGTTTGGGGGTTTTAATCAATTACTGGAGAAGGACTTTAAAAAAATACATTACTTGCTGTGCAGCACTACAAAGTGGCAGTTTGATTTCAAGACCCAGATAAACCAGAATAAGTCTGTGTGGGAGGAGTCAACTACAACAAAAGGTGAAATTATATGTAAATTTTATAACAGAAAAATCATAACACAGAGCTTCAATGTGCCATACTACTTCCTGTGAAGTGGCTAAAGAAGTTAAAACAATAGAAAACCACAATTAGTGTACAGTAACCAGTAAATAGATGCCAACTCAACAGCCTTATCTGGCTTCATTCATCATCTACTCTGAGACAAACCATAAAAGGCTTTCCAGTTGACAAAGTGACCGGCCTCTATCAGATACACCAGTTATCAGTGAGAATAAGTTTGAAGGAAGCCACTCACCCCCTGGATACCATCAGGAATGCAGTAAGTGATCTTGGTGGTTTCGACCTTGCTGTGACCCGGTACACTGAACTGTAGTCTCGTTTGGATCATTTTGCCCCGGATGCCCCAGGGTACTTGCTCCGTCTTGGGGCAAACTCTGCAGTTGGTGTGCACCGTCTCCAGGCACTTGGAGCACATGGAGACCCCACATTTGGTCCTCACCACCGACGTCCCGGTCTTCCCGCACACACAGATGCAGGTGTCCTGGATCTCTGTATTTTGTCTTTGACCTGCACTGTCTGTCTGGGTTTCCTCTTTCTCGCTGCAGGTCGAGGTAAGCCCGACACCATTCACGCGTTGTGCAGTCGTATTGTTTCCTGCTGCAAAGTAACTGACCAATGACTCACTTTTCTGTGCGTCACTCTCTACTGCAGCTGCAATTTTCACTTTCTCCCTAATGACATGGTCTTTTCTCACTAGCGGTTGGCTAAAGGATCCATTCACCGCTTCTTTCTCACCGAAATCACTTCTATAGGTCGTTTTCCATCCCTGACTCCTACTACTGCCAGTCCCTTCGGCTGTTTGGTTCTCTAGCATCAACTGGGAATGACCAGTGCTTTTGGCCTCATTTATTTCTGAAGAACTCGAGGAGTTAGAGGAGTTGGAGAGGTGGTGTTGTTCAGGTGATTGAGCCAAAGTTCCAGAAAACACCTCCCGCAGTGTAGCACCAACCTGAGAACACAACTGTTTTGGACCAAGAAGAAATAAGGTCTTCTTCAATGTCTGGATGGTAACCTTCTTGAAGCGGCTCCGCACCTCAGAGCAACAAGCCTGCAAGGTTTCATCTGCTGTGTCGGTGATTCCCAGCTCTGACAGGTGCAGCTTCTGCACAGAGAAGTCCAGACCAACCACGTCAATCAGCTTCTGTAAGCCGAACTGGCAAGACGTCACTATGGATGAATCTGCCCCTCGTACAGTAACTGTCAGATCTCTGCTGCCCTCTGAGCAGCTCTCTTTCATCTGGACATCAGAAGTCAGGTTCTCCACTCTGGTGCTGTAGGCTTCTTTTATGTGCTGCCACATCACCCGGGAGACTGTAAGATCTGCGTTATAAACTTCTATCTTCTCCCTTCCGGTTCGGTTACTGAAGCTAGAAGACCTGCCCCTGGCTCTGATTGTGGATTTGCTGGAATCGTCTTTACTCATCTGACTCATTACTTGGGCTTTCTGCTGAGGCGTTCCTGAGAAACTACTGGCCCGCTTCAAGCTGGATCCAGATCCAATAGGTGGAGGCGCAGTAACTCCTGACAAACTGGACAAAGGAGTGCTAAAGAGGGAAGTCTTGGGTCGAGCATCTATTAGATCTAAGGAGGTTTTATGCTGCGTAGAGGCTAAAGAAGGCAAAGCACTCTTAAATAAAATGTCCCCACCAGTGTTTTGGGCTTGGGAGACAGCTTCACCAGAAATCCCTGCTGGTTCTGACAGTACATCACGTCCTAACATTGGTCCTGGGCGAGTTTGTCTGCTGGAAGACGGGTTTGATCGCAGGGTGAAGTCACTTGGTCGACTGCCTAACCCAGTCAATGCCGAATCCTTAAACCTAGCAGCTAGTTTATACCTTCTCGCACCTTCAGCTCTTTTTTCATCTTCCTCTGACCTCAGAATCTGATCTTCAATAGATCCTACAGTCGTGAGTCTCTCCTCACCAGCATGAGCTGATGAACCAGAATCATACGAAGGAAATCTAAGCAGACTGCCTACATCCTCCTCTTTTTTATCCCTCACTTTAATGTGGTCCAGGAGAAGAAAATGTTTTGCATCAGCCACGTCACTGCTGCTCCCGACAATGTAAATATTTCGGTCATCTTCGTTCAAAAGAATCTTGGGAAGTCTGACACTTAAGATCTCCAGTGCCCTTGGCAGTCCTCCCCTGGGGGACAGGATGGACTTTGGGAGTTGGGCTCTTCGGGTCTTGGCCTCATTCTCCTCGTAAAGCTGACTTATCGCCTTTTTCGCCAACTTTAAGCGCCCCCACTCTCGACCACCCTCCCTCGCCGCCGCTGCAATCTGCAGAAACAGAGTGGTCAAACCCTGATTGGTCACATCCACCACGTCAACGCCATACTGGCTGAGGATTTGCTGGTATTCCTTCTGGCAGTGTTTCTGCAGATACTGAAACATGTCTGCATCCAGGATGAGTGAGAAGTCCTCCTCTGAGGTGGAGGGAAGCTGCAAAGCTGCTCCGTCAGTCTGCCCATTATCTTCCCAGTCATAACCTCCAGGAGTCAGGTCTCTGTGTGAACCTGAGCTGAACTCATCCGAAGGCCTGTCAGGGTGACGTTTTTCTCTTTGCTTGTTAGGTTTTCTGGTCTGATCTTCTGACTCATGAGGCTTCTGTGCTATCTGAAGAGACAAATTACCACTTGGGGCAGGTTGATCTTCGCTTTCTGCTGACTCGGTGCCTCCCAGTATTTGTGCCAAGGCAGCCTGCACTTCGCTGTAGGAGCCACACAGTGTACAGCAGCCCTCAGTAGCGGAATAGTTTATCTGGACATCACGGTGGCTCTTACGGATACTTGTCAGTGCCACGATTCCTCCTGGGAGCTTGCTATAGTCAACAGTTGCTGATAAACTCAAAATGACCTGTGATGACAGAAAAGGAGAGACAACAAACATCGCATTTTACTGTCTGTGTAGCTTCTTAGTCATCCAGGTCATGGTAATCCTAGGAGCTTCAGTGGAAAGTAACTGGACTTGTCTGTTAGGTTCAAGAATCTAAAGGTTATGTTGGATGCCTTTTGCAGTGTAACAACACATGAGAAGGTTTCCAAATGGTTTGCACTCAAACACAGTAGAAAGTCATTTCATGGAGCTTTAAGGTGCTGTTTCCTATTTTATGTGCAGATTCACTCCAATACAAAGTCACCTTAGTCATTTCAGAATGATTCATTCTTCCAAATAGAGTTACTCAAGTCACCTGGTGTTTTTTTCATTTATATCACAGAAAAACAAATTATCCCAAAGCCATTTTTTCCCCCCTCCAACATCGTGCAGCCCTACAGCTGAAATATTCCTGAACATTGTAGTTAAATGCACCTGGTCTGGGTCCAAGCTTTCACGATGCTCAGTTGCAGTGAGCTTGTACTTCTTCCCGTCCACTTCCAGAATGTGCCGGCTGCGCTGAATAACGCTCTGTGCCACTGTGTGAGAGGAATCATCAGACGGAAATCAATCACAGACTGTGAGGCATCCTGACTAAGCATTTCTGCCACTGGCCACTCCATTGACTTCCATTCCAGCTTAGCATATATCACTGGTGACAGCAGACATAATGCAATAGCTGATCAATTCTATGTAAATGACTGCACAGTGTAAAGAAATGGTAATTAGTCCAGCAACAGGGCACCAAAAACTTTTAGAAAATAACTATCTCATTTAAAAAAAAAAAAAAACACCATCATTTTCTTTTATCAAAATACAGGCTCTGGCAATATTTTTACATAATGTTTTTTGGGATTTTTGTAATATTTAATGAAGGACAAAAATTATTACGAGAGGGTAACGTTAACTACAAATAATTAGAGTTCATCCTGAAATAATATTAAATCAACACTTTGAACAACGATACGTTTATTTGCCGATATTAGAAGTCTGCCACAATCTATTTCCATTACATTTAATTTAGGTGCTTGTGATTAACATGAAGCTCTGAACAAGCAGCTAACATGTGGTTTCGCTAAATTTATTCCTGAGTTTTAAAAACATGAAAACTAAATTATGATCATAAAATGAAATTTAAAAAAAAACAACTATCCAATCATTTTAACAACAATACAATAAACATGGTATTCATGATAAAATGCCACATTTCTCATGTTTAAGTGCAATTTCTTTATAACTTTAACAACAAAAGATCATTTGATAATCTTTCAATGTAGAAAATATAGAAAACAAAACTGAAAACTCATTTTAAGTGTTTAAAAATTAGATCATAACAAAATAGTTCTTGTGTCAAAAATGTCAAAATCTGTTGTAAAACTAGTAATTCAATGTCAAATCGCAAGAATCTAGAGTTTTGCATGCAACTTTACATGACAATCTTGTATATTTGACAAATCTTTAATGTTAGAAAAGTCTGTCCACCTACAAAATGAATGGCTTAAAAAAACATGTAAATCCAGTATTGTAAAACAAATACTGATGGTTATAATTACAGATCATATCAAGTATAATTAGTTTTTTTTTACACACAGTAAACATCTTATATTTTTATGCATAATAATCTTATATCTATCTAATGTCTGACAGATTTTGAATGTCTATAAAGTATCTCGACTGATAAAGTGAATGGATTTACTTTTGAAAAATGCAAAACCACTGTTTATAAACTAATACTTATGATAGTAATTGCAAGAATAAATTCTTAGTTTTAGAGAGGTAAGAGAGAATAACATGTTGTGGCACATTACATTTTTAGTAGATATTTTTATTTCCAAAAATGTGGATTTGCTGTTCCACTGGGAGACCTGAGTGTAAATATAATCAGTGTAATAATATAGCTTTCAGAGCAACATGTTTCTGCAACAGAATCGATGAATTATTCATTTAAAAAGCCTCCCATCACTTCACATGCAGATCTGCGGACACACCCCGACCCCACTGACCTCCTCTGTCTTCGAAGGTGATGAGGGCGGCGGGCGGCGTTGCCTTGACGATGACGACAGCATCTATCTCCCCTCCTCCGTTGCCGGATCTGAGAAAGTGGATGAGGAGTTTGTCTTTCAGCCTCGCATCCTCGATGTCTGTGGGCAGACCGCTCACCCTCACGGTCCTGCCCGCCTCTGCCATCTGCTGGGAGGAAACACAAAAACTGAGTGACGGCGAGACGGACGGAAACACACAAATGTCATGATTCTGCAGAAAAACGTTAGAAATCAATGTGATGGTGGCAAAAAAAAAAAAAAAAAAAAAAAAAACTAACAGGATGCCTCTTTGTGAAGCTGTTAATGTTAGTGTCAGACAACCATGCAAAGACCCCACCCTTGTGAATAAGAGGAGAGGCATTTTTGATCATCTAACACCCTCTATTGGGGGTTACCAAGACACTGCATCAACTTGGTAAAAATTTTCCATTACAGTCACAGTAAAACACAACTTCGCTGAGCAAATAACCTCAGATTTATGAAGATAATCAGCCCAGTCGCTGCAGATTTTTATGACTGTCAGACCAGCACAGGCTTTGACAATTCAGATTTAATCATCCTAGTGTCTAAACTACTGATTTATTACTTTGTCTTGTTGGAGTAAATGTTGTGTCTTCTTTTAGTGCAAATATATGTGCAGCATTTATCAAATGTATACAGCACCTTGTCATACACAGAGGAGAGTCAAAGTTTACAGGCAAAGGCGAAAAAACATAAAGCATGTATGAAACAAAATATAGAATAGAAAATTTCGCTAATTCCATTTAAAAAAAAATAAAAAATCAAAAACAGTGCAGACAAGCTGGATGAAGTGTGAGCAAATTTTATAGAAAAATGTCAAAATCTGCAGCAGACTAAAATTCATTAATGAAATAAATTATAAACAGTGCAGACAAGCTGAATAAAGTGTGCACTGATTTTAAGAAATAAGTTTTGAAAGCTGAAAAAGACCAGATGAGAAAAATAAAAGCTTGTAAAACATAAAATATGCATACACAAAAAAGAAAGTATTAGATAAAGTCCAGGCGAACAAAATCAAATTAGTCTAAATAAATTAAAAACAGCACAGACAAGCTAATAAATAGTGCACTGATTTTATAAAATATTTTTCAAAAATGAAAAAAAACTGTTTAGAAGAATAAATCCATGTAAAACACTGAATATGCAAAAAAAAACACATATAAGATTAAAATAAATAAATTTAAAAAAAAAATAAAAATACAGCAAATACGAATACGAATACGAAAATGAAATTAATTCAATAAATCACGGTGCAGACAAGCTGAATAAAGTGTGCACTGAATTTAAGAAATAGGTTTTGAAAGCTAAAAAAAAAAGACCAGATGAGAAAAATAAAAACACGTAAAACATAAAAATAGGCAAAAATAAATAAATAAAATATGTATTAGAATAAACTACAAAATACGGCTTAATAAAATCAAATTTATGAGGCTAAATAAATTAAAAGCAGTACAGACAAGCTAATAAAGTGTGCACTGATTTGATCAAATACATTAAAAAAATACTGAAAAAGGTCAGACGAGAAAAATAAAAGCACTTAAAAGATACTGCATGCATTAAAATAGAAAAGAAATCAAATGAAGCGTGTAAAGGTGCAGAGAAGTTGAACAAAGTGTAGATGGTGACTGATCCTGAGGTTCCTCCCCTTTACCCTTTTACTGTCTGTCTTCCTGCTCCACTGACTGTCAACTGGTTTGCAGCTCAGTCACTAAACTTCTCTTCATCTACTACATGCTGATTTCCGCAAACTGCACATATTACTGCTTGTAAAATCATTTTTCTACACATTTTAGCGCTTTTCTGCTGATATCTGCTGCCAGTCTGCAGTGTTTACTTCCACACTGTGTCACAACACGCAGCCAAAAGCGAGAGTGAAGCCTGACAGCAGGGCAGAGAGTCGAGGAAGTGAAAAAAGAAAAAAAAATCCTCTCTCACATCTCCACCGACGATCTGCTTATCGACGGGATCTGCACTTTCGATCTGTTGGACGCCTTTTCTCAGAGTCGATGAATAACTCGAATACCATTTCTCTGATCTTTACTGACCTTGCGAATGCTTCGATTTCTCTCCAACCTTTTAGAGATCGTCACTCTTTACAAGCCATGGAGGCAAAGTGAAACTGATCCAGCGTCGGTGTGGTTTCGCTTTGTGTCCGACAGGGGGCGACCGAGCGCTGCAGCCTGAGCAGATGTGCCAGAAGTGTGCAGGTGAGTCACTCTAGGCAGTGCAGAATGTGAGAATATGCAAAGATGTAGATGTCAGGGAGAACGCAGAGGAAGTGCCCCCCCTAAATATTGAGAAGCTGTGCACTTTTTTTTTTCAATAAGCTGCAAAAACATAACTTATAGTTGCAAATTTGTGCTTTAAAAAAATCACCAGAATGCAGGAAATTGAGTGTTTCGTGCTCAAACAAGTGTGTGTGTGTGTGACATCTGATGATAATAATTTTATTTTGGGTGATATTGATCATATATTAATGTGACTGGCATTATGAAATAAAGCTGAAAAGTTTAGGCACTGTCTGATTTTTAAGGATTAGAGACCTTTAACTGTCACAAGCACACTTATACATAGTACAACACACAATGAAATGCATCATGCACCTGTTCCAGACCAAAACAATGATGTTAATAATAATAAGAAGAAGGCGAATAAAGAATAAAACACAATAGATAAATATATCTATGAATATGTAGGTAGATAGACAGAAATAAGAAAAATAAATAAATAAAAGTGTCAATTTTATGTGATTTTATGTAAGTAATTATAATGTGAGGGATTAACACCCTACAAAAATTATATAAAATACTACTTCATCTGATGATAGTATATATTAAGGCAGACCCCAACAGCATTAATAACTATGGCGATATTAATTACCAACCGCAAAAAGTTTAAATATGGGCATCAAGATTACATTGTTTATTTATGCTGTTACTTTAGTAATTTGCATATTATGGATGAAAACCACCGCAAAGATCATGTACAATACTACATAATCTAACTTTAATACATGTTAATGTTGAGATCCTACAGTGTTTTATTTGTGTGGGACATGCAAATAAACACATGCCTAAATTACTTGTAGGCTCAGTGATAAAAATCTCTCTCTTTTTTTTTAAATGATTTGGTAAATTTGAGCATCTCTGGTGTCTCACAACAGGTGCCTGAACAGTTAAAAAATAACAAATAAAAAGCACAACACACCAGAAATAGAAACAGCCAGCAACTTCTTGTCTGAGGACATAAACCTGTATTCTGGCCTAAAGAGCTTGAAAGTAATAGGATTAGAACCACGATCAAAATAATAAACTTAGTCCTGAAAGAAAAGCAAACAGTCAGTGCAGTGATGCTGAAGGTGCTGTTTTGTGCTTTCTCTTCCTGTTTTCAGTTCATCTATTCAGTCAGTCAAGCGTGGCCGGAGGTTTTGTTTGAACTCTGGGGAGACGCATTAGTGATCTTTGGTCCGGTCCACCCAGACTAAAAACAGTAGTCGAGTCACTGTTTATTATGTAGCACATTTTAACAGTTTGACAGCCGTTGCACCAAAGTGCTTCCTAAAAAAATGAAAAAATAATGACAATACATGTTGTGCTTTATTAAGTTAGCCCAACAACTTTAAATATTGAGGTTAAGACCCTACACTATGATTTAAAGTAAGATTTTACCGAATGATTTTAATATTAGGAATTAAAACCCCACATCACATAATTTAAAATACTTTTCTTAACTGTAATACATATTAAGGCTGAGGTTTACAGTGTTATTAAGTATAAAGATAAACTTGACTAATGTTGTATTTTAGAATTACAAATTACTGAATTTACCAGAGCGAATATAAATATTAAGGCTAAGCCTCTTTAGCTTTATTAATTTGGGGGATTAACCTGACTAATTTAGAGCAATAGATGGCAGTAATGTGTCACTTTGAAAACACTCTGTGACAAACCATAGAAGAAGAGTCTCGGTTCTGTCCAATCAGAGGCTACGTTGCTGCCCTCGGTGCGCAGGCGCAGTGGAGCAGATATTGCATGTGTGGTACGTCGTGTCCGGTGGAGGTCACAGACATCTGAAAGGACTGAGGTGAGTTGTGACATGGAGCGTGTTCGTAGCTTAGTAATTGCTGTGTTAAACGTTACTGTAGCTTTCATTATACATCGACCAGGAGACCTTTATTGTTTTTTATATGTAAATAATGTTATATCGCTTAATCTGATTGAGATAAACCGGCTAGCTTCTCTGCATGTCCATGAACGACAGATAACGTGCGTACTGTCACCCGGCGTGTCGCTTGGACTGCACTTACGCGACGAGTTTAATTTTCGTTTAATGTGTCTTAAATATACTGTAGGTAGTGTTGTAGAACGTCGTTAACTAAGCTGTAGCGCTCCGTTTGTTCAATTTGACTTAGCAGCTGTCTCAGTCCACAGCTAGCCAACAAGCTAATGCTAGTGAGGGAGCTAAATTAGCTAACACCCCCAGCCTTGGCATCAGTCAGCCCAAGGCCAAAGCCAATTGTGCCTGGAAGAGAAGGGATTTAACCTGCTGGCTCTCTAACAACTGTCACACAGGGCTGAAAATATGTGTACATATATACGTTTTGTCATGATTAAATGTTTTATTTAAGTTGATGTTTAATAATTATTTGAATTTGCATGTGTTTAATAAAGATTAGATGATTTTGAATTTAACCACGTTAGCATGAAAACCAAGGTGCACAGTTTATAATTTTATTGCTAAAACAACAACATACAATTACTAAATTTAAACGCATTAGTAAAAATGAATAAGGATAAATGAGTGGAGATTAACTTTCCAAACATGAAGCAGTTTCTAGTTGTTGTTGTTTTGTTTGTTTTTTTGCTCCAATCGGATATTTCTGTGGACTAATTTTTTACTGTGACATAAAGTCCTGCACCTCTGTGGAAACAGCACAACCATGACTAGGAATAAAGAGAACTGTGACTGATAATAGTTAGGGACCTACTTGTGACCCTGGCTTCACAGGTGCCCTGAGGAGTGCATTTTTTGTTTGTTTACCGAATGTGATACAAGCAAATAGTTTGGGTTTTTAATGTTTGAAGTGAGACTTCTATAACTAAGTATTGGATTTGATTAAGTTGCTTAATAGAGCTGCGCATCACACATGATTAGTTTATGGACCATTAAAAGGTCGACCATCAGATCTTACTTTGTTTTAACACTTTCTCTCTCTGGCAACTAGTGTAATTTTTACAAAAGGCAAGGGAGGAAAAAAACATGACTTTTAAATTCTGCTGGTGAGTTTTATGTGCTCTGAGGACCTTGGACAGCGACGACACACTGGGAGGTCAAAGAGAGAGCATGCTTTGGGTTTGTTTGTTTGTGCAACCGAACTTTGCGTTTTTGTATGTACTATTATGGTCATTTGCCTCTCATGTATTTAGGGACACTATTGAACGCAGTATCGGATGATTTTGTTACAGCTAAAGTGTCTGTCGCCGGTACTGCGATTGTTTTATCGCCCAAACCTTCTGTCACAAATATTTCAGTGGTTTACATTGCATTAGGTCTAAACTTGTTAATGTGTACTGAAGGGTTTCAGTGTCTTATCTTGTTTTGATTCCCTGCAGGTTGCTGTCATGGCCAAGTTATTTGAGTCAATCGGAAAGTTGGGCCTTGCCCTGGCCATCGGTGGAGGTGTTGTCAACTCTGCCCTTTTTAATGGTGAGTGCTGACTTCGTGAAGTTCACTTTTTGGGGTAACTCTGGTTATTTATTAAAGATTTTTGATATATGGGGTGCACTGGGAGCTCAACCAGATAAGACGGCATCCAATGAACAAGGGCTATAGTTCCCCGACGCAGCAGTTGTGAGTTCGAATCCCGCTCACGGCCCTTTGCTGCAGGTCTGTCCCCACTCGTCTCCCCCCTTTCCTGTCTCTCTCCACAGCTCTACTAAAAATAATAAAGGCAAAAAATAAATTAAAGTTAAAAAAGAGATTTTTGTTATATTTGTTATATTAAAAAATGCAGGACCCAGTAAAGAAGTCAGGCAAATCTCATGACAAGTTATGTATCATAAAATGCAGGGCTTTCCAAAAACATAACACAAACACAACGCAGACCAAAAACTCGTTCTAAAACTAGCAACCTTTATTACTCTTGTGAATGACCTTTGACATGGAAACAAACATTTCAACAGCAGCAGCTTGTTAAATGAGGATAGAAAAGATGTGAGAGCAAGACAAGCCACACTCAGGTCTAAAATTCCTCTTGGTGCACCATCTCACTAAATAACAGTAAATACAAGTGAACCTGCACAAACTGTATATGACTTTCAAAGTCCTCTACATGCTTGGTTGTCTGTCTCTAAATGTTGCCCTGTGATAGACTGGTGACCTGTCCAGGGTGTCCCCTGCCTTCACCCTGAGTCAGCGGTTCATAGATGATGGATGGATATTGTCTAAACACTTAGTCTTAGCCACATCTTACGTGTTCACCTATCATGGTTATCATGGTTTTGTAATTCAATTCAGCTGTTGCAGTTTGCAGCTTTTCGCTTGTGTTTGATCAAATTGATTAATATGTTTTCTAAAATGTGTTGCTAATAAACCCAATCACAGCTGTTTAGCTTGTGTAGCTCTCAGTAGTGTAATTTATGCAAATTATAGTTTATCAGCATCATATGTCAAAAATCAGACAAACACTGCCATAGATAAATCAGTGTTCTCACTAAAGTCTTTGGCAGTTTGAAATCATGTACACTGTATACAAGAGACTGACTGTCCTTCTCTCTGCAGTCGATGCAGGGCACCGGGCCGTGATATTCGACCGGTTCCGAGGCGTACAGGATGCTGTTGTTGGCGAAGGGACCCACTTCCTCATTCCCTGGGTTCAGAAACCTATTGTCTTTGATTGCCGCTCCCGTCCACGCAACGTCCCTGTAATCACAGGCAGCAAAGGTACGCGAATAATCAGAGGAACTGCTGTCTTCTGTTTTTTGTTTTTTTGTTGCCGCATCTGTCTTTCAAAAATGAGAAGGCTAAGCTTCATGGTTTCTTTAAGAATCCTTCTAGTAATCTCTTAAATATATTTCTTTTTATTTTGTAGCAACAAAAACCAATTGGGTGAGTGCAAATGGTTTGTTTTGAGTGAAAAATATAGACGTGTAGAAGAAGGTCATTTTTATGAAATATGATTTTTTGGATTCAGTGAAGATTTCCTCTGGAACACCATGTCACAGATAGGTAGTCACAGAAGTTCAAGCACAATTTATTTTTTATTTTTTTAACCCATTTCTGGGTCGAATAAAAGCTATAATTTAAAGCTAACATACCTTTGAAACCTCTCCCAAAATATCAGAATTGGCATCAGCCTCAAAAATCCATATCAGTAGGGCCCTAGTTTTGGGGTTTAAAGGGTTCGACTAATGAGTAAATACATCTTCATATTTTGTGTAATGCACTGGGTTTATTCAGACAGGATTCACTTGTGTTTCTCACAAAACACTACGAGCAGGGCCATTTTAGGTTACATGACCTCGAATTGTTTAAGTGTAGCAGCTGAGCGCAGTGAGGTCAGATCAGATTAAGTTTCTCGGTCACATTAGCTGCTCCACTCTCAGCTTACACCAAACATGTTGAGTAAAAACTGCATCTGAAATCTGATTACTTCCTAAAGTATATATATATATTTGTATTTTTAACAGCACAGATGCTACTGAATAACCACAGGAATATGAACGGAGCGCAGTAGGAATACTGCAGGCAGGAGTTTGTCTTTAGATTCCTCTTGCTCTTATGCGAGTTGCTACTCGTTGTTTATAAATTATAGCCTGCGTGCAGAGAGATGTATAATAGATGTAGCTTTCCTAATGGCTCACTTGTGCAGATTATTAACAGCCAGGGCACACGAGGACCTGCACTTTCACTCTGTGCTTGTTTGAGAGATCATTACTAGAACACGTGACGTTTTAATCTATGAAAATAAGGAAAAAATACACGTTCACTTCGAGCTAATATGACTCATTTATCTGAACCATTTCACCCCACAGACCTGCAGAATGTCAACATCACATTGCGTATCCTCTTCCGGCCGGTGACGACTCAGCTGCCACGTATTTTCACCAGTATCGGAGAGGACTATGATGAGAGGGTGCTACCGTCCATCACCACAGAGGTCTTAAAGGCTGTAGTGGTGAGTATCGGTCACTGGGGCACATTATCACATTGACATACGTCTGCAGTGTGTCGAGCAGGTGGAGTCTGAACACCATTTAACAGATGCATCAGCTGATAAATGACTCAATCGGACTTTATTTGTGCAAGACTGTTCATATAAATGGAATACAAGAAAATGTTTTGTACAAAACAAATGGAAGAAAGTAGCTCCATAATCACCTAATAAACATTGTGTTATACATAAAGGACTCAATAGAACAAAGACTGAGGAACTGATCAGGAGCAGAGCAGCCAGCATGGATCATTTGCTGACATCATTATCTTATCAATGATTAATAACGCAAACCTTCATCGCTCTTACCGATTCCAGTCATTGATTTAACTCTTAAAAACTTGCCTCTGTGTATCAAAGTTGCATATTCAGAAGTTCTTTTTTCAATGGAAATAAACCCTTTCTGCCTTAAAATGGCTTAGATACTTTCCGCTGCAGGCCATTTTTGGGCAGCCTGAACCTTTACACGTTCTGACCACAAAAAAAACACGACCCTGTAGAACATCTTTCAGGGCCGTTTTTGGGGGAGGAAACAGTTCAGGGTTGGTATTTCTGAGCAGCCCTGAAAAACCGCTGTGATGCTGATTTAACTCAGAGGACAACAAGTGCCTTTTTTTTTGCCTTCTTAATGTCCTTGTCCAACAGCAGTCTTCACCTCTCAATCATTGCCATCTTCATACCTCCATATAGGAAAAAAAATAAATAAATAAAGCACTATTCTTCTATTTCCTGCACAGAACTCGAGTTACATCCAGTAACTACTTTTCTCGTTGTTTTGGTGCACTGTGAGGTTATCATGTTAAAATCCTGCAATGCAAAGGAAGCAGAAATGCTAAAAGGATCGACTACAGGAACTTTACTGTAACCCCCTTCTCACACTCGCTGCAGCTTTAGCACACCAGCTAACCTATTATTCTGCTAAAACACTAACACATACTCAAACCAGAAACTGATTTTAAAGAACCACCCTGCGAGCTGACAGGATAGGCGCCTTTGGTTTGTTACATATGAAGCCCTGGAAGCCTGAATCCATGTTTCTGAGACTGTCATCCGTACACCGCAGTTTCAAGAAGATAGACGCACAGTTAAGGCGTTGACTGCTCGTGATGTGTCTTCCAGCAGACAAAAAACCCATTTGGACATGTTAACAAAGTGAAAAACTTGCCCGCTTGTGTCCCAACTGTAGGAGAAGCAGCCAATAAGAGGCACAATAAGCTAACAGATGATTTATTTCACAATGAATTGATTTATTAACTACTATAAGTATGTTTCTTACAGGCTAGGTTTGATGCCGGCGAGCTCATCACTCAGAGAGAGCTGGTGTCCCGGCAGGTCAGCGAGGACCTCACAGAAAGAGCCTCCACCTTCGGCCTCATTCTGGATGATGTTTCACTGGTATGAAGCTGCCGGCAGATTCTGCAGCAATGTCCACGCTACCTTTTTTGGTTGCACGTTAACTTTGATAAACCGTCTAATTGCGTTTCAGACACACTTGACCTTTGGAAAGGAATTCACGGAGGCTGTTGAAATGAAGCAGGTGGCTCAGCAGGAGGCGGAGAGGGCCCGCTTTGTTGTCGAAAAGGTATCATTTATAACATTCTTTCTGTAATACTTTTTCATTCAAGTCTATGTATGCGGTCTTTATTGGGGAGAGAATGGGAGGTTAAAAAGGTCGAATTTGCATTTCTAGGCAGAGCAACAGAAGCAGGCGTCCATCATCTCAGCAGAGGGAGACTCTCAGGCTGCCTTGCTCATCGCCAACTCCCTGATGGAGGCCGGCGACGGTCTGGTGGAGCTCCGTAAGCTGGAGGCCGCCGAGGACATCGCCTTCCAGCTGTCGCGCTCCCGCAACGTCACCTACCTGCCCTCAGGACAGGGCACGTTGCTCCAGCTGCCCCAGTGATAGCATCACGTCGCCCCCCCACGTCTGCCCCCACTCTCGCTGTCACCAGCCGCCACACGGGCCGCGGAAGGGGTGGTTGGAGGATGAAATAACGGATTCTCCCAACTTCACAGTACATTCCTCCCACTCTTTCTCTAACCAACTCTGGACTGGGCTCTGCTGATAGCAGCATGGTGAGAGACAGAGTGAGAGGTCTGCGATGGATAACTCATGAAGTCCACCCTTGTGTAAGGAAGTGAAGGGGTTAACTGCTCCATCTGTGATAATATATATACACACAATATAACTTGTTCTTTTGTTTTGAGAAGAATGTCCAAAGCAGTAAATTCTCTTAAGATTCGTTGTTTCTGAGGAATAAAGTAATTTTTTGCATCAAGGCAAACTGTATGTGACTCCTTTTAAAAGATAAGATGATAAATTGTGAATGACAAATGCCATTATTGTTGTGCTGGAAAGTTGATTATTGTGCATCTGCAGTATATTCAAATCTGTCACGAAAAGCTTACCTGTCTCTTTAAGACATAACTGACAAGCGATGATTCATTCATTTGACTTTAGTCTTTGTTTTCTGAATGCTAAAGGATTAATGCGCTGGAATAAAAAACTGCTTTCTAGCTAATTATTTCTTCATGAGTAATATTGCCACCCGATTGGAATGTGCCTGTCGGACAGTAGAGGATGAGCCTTCATTCTTTACAGTTTTTGCCGTGGCTTTAGTTTGTGCGGAGGAAGTGTAAGCCCCAACGTTTCAGAAATGGTTCAACTTAACAATAAAATTGTCTTTCTACCTCCCAGGTGTCGGTCTTGTTGGTAAAGGATTAAAAAAAAAAAAAAGGTGAAAGTGCAGGATTTTTATATTGGACGTAATCACATTTGTCACCACATGAGGGTGCTTCATAAATGCATTCTTTTTTTAATGCACTAGATAAAATACTTTGTGAATGGCAGCTGTGGTGACAGAAGTAAAGGTTTGTTTTGTAGCGATATTAAAATTAAAACCTACGAAGCTGAATGTTTTCTCATGTAAATTTCACGACGGAGCCATGCCACAGTTTAATTTTAGACGCGGCAATGATTTAAATTCAAATTACTGAATCTCAGATATGAATGTTTTATATCCATCATACATTTTTTAAACCTTGATCATATGAACAGTCACTAATGATTAATATCAATGTAATATGCAATGTGGTCACTTTGCTGACCATAGGCGAAGGTTTCAGGATGCCCTCTTCAGTGTTTGGTGCATTTGTCTACAATCCTAGTCGGTATACAACAGAAGTGGATGTGCAATGTTACGGAAATGTCAAAGGATTCAGTGCTGTCATCTCAAAGCTGGAACAGTATTCATTCTCACGTAAAATGAAAAACTATTTCTCAGCTGCTCTTTGCTGGAGGGATTGTGTTGCTCTAACTTACTCTCTGAAATACCCCAAAGGTGTTCTATTGAATTCATGTCAGGACACATTCTTTTCCAGGTCGTAGTTTTCACCTTGTTTTTGTGCAGAACCTCTGATGGGATTTTGTGCTTTGGATGGTTCTCATGCTGGAATAATCATCTTCAAGTTTTTGCAGACTGGGAGTCATCTTGTCAGCTAGTATTTTTTTTTGTTAACGCACAAACATTCATCTATAAATGTCATCTCTCCAACACCTTTTACACTCATGCAGCCCCATATCATCAGCCCCACTCCCAGCTCTGTGTGTCACTGTCAGGACTATGCATTCACTGTGGTCGTCCTGATCAGGTTCACACCAAACAAGCTGGACTCCATCTGAGCTGAACTAATTTATCTTGGCCTTATCTGACCAAAGAATGTGCTCCCAACATTTATCAGGCTTCTTTTCATGCTCTCCAGCTTTATCATGCAGCTTTGTTCCGGAAACATTGTTTTGTTTTTTCTGAGATTTAACTAGTCTTACATTGGAATTGTAAGATACTAGTTAAAAATTAAATCAATCAATGATACACACAATTTCCTTTAAAGTATAGGTAAATATATGTTAATGCTTTGGGGAAAAAAGTGTGTAGTTTTGTGGCCAATTGCTGTAAAAGGATGAGTGATCATTTGTAAAAATACTGATTTTTGATGTTCAGTTTTGGCCTGTTTTTTAGAGTTAACGTGAAAATAAATACTTCTTGTTTGTAATTTTACTAGTTTTTATCTGCAATTTAAAAAAACAGGTCAAATCTTTGAAATAGTGAAACAGTTAATAGATATTACACATTTTCCAGTACAAAACTACACATAATTTTTCCTTTTAAATAATGGCAGACGTCTGTAGAATCATGATGTTTTTGCTCATTAAAATACACGAAGCAAAAGAATATGTAATTTGCATTGAATGTACATGTGATGTGAATTTTTTTAGGGTTAACATCTAATTAGCAGGTCTTAAGAAGGGCAACAACATTATTATCAGTAATTTCTTCCCCTTAGATTTTGCCAGTTATGAGGAATTTAGGGAAACAGACCAAATAACTAAGTTGTTGAAACATCTGTGCAGTTAGTTGGCTTCAAAAGAATAAAACTACAGTTAAAAGTGTTTTGTTTTTTATTCTTTTAGGGGCATGCAGAGAAGACACATATTGGTGCATAAAAAAATCTCCACAATGCTGTAAATGAAGCGTCTGACACTCCAAATGCTCCAGAAGAAGACCCTTTAGTGAGAGGCTCAGTTAGAACCTCACACCCAGGGGCCTCCAGAGAACCAAACCGCTCTAATGTTCTCATAAAACCGAGCGATGCATTATTAAAGCCTCGGCATAAATTAATCGCGGTGTCAGAATCCTCCCTGTGAGCGAATAAAGACGCTCCTCGGGGTCTTTTTTCTCTCCTTCTCGTTATGATTTTAATCAATCAAGGATTCCTGCTCGACGCGTGGGCGCGCACCGTGCCCTGTCTGGTCTGGAGACCCAGACACGCCGCCGCCGCCGCCGCCGCTGCCGCGCGCCCGACCGACCAACCGACCAGACAGACAGGACCGGAGGAGCGCGGGACGACGGCGGCGGCGGCGGCGGAACGCGCGCGAGAGAGGAGAGCTCGGCTGGGCCACGTAGCGGGGGCTGAGGAGGAGGAGGAGGACGCCGGTGCGCGGGTTTATCTTTCCGCAGCGCACAGACACACGTTAATTCCGGCGCAGGTTTTGTGTTTGTTTTTTTATATATTTTGCACATACGTCTTAGCTTCTTCTTCTTTTTTTTTTAATTTACAAATTTTTCCTCTAAATGCACGAACGTAGTGAGCAGCGCGAGCCAGCACAGGAGAGGAGTGCGCGTGCAACCCCACTGAATCTGTGCAACTCTGATTTGCACGAACGCAAGAGGGAGGTCGCTGTCGACGGTGGAGGTAAGCCCGCAAAACACAAGAAAATGCCGCTGTTTTAGTGGATTTTTACGCGCTTTGACGTGGCGTGACAGCAGGCGAGGCGCACACGGAGGGACAGGCGCACGGACGGCCCGTGTAGGGGATGACGGTGGCCCGAAGCCGCGGTGAGAAACGTCCGTGAGCTCCGGCTAGCACTGACTTTGTGACAGTGTCGAGTTGAGTGGGTTTGCCTCCACAGCAGCAAGCAGCAGCCACAGTCCCGGCGGGGGGGTTTGTTAGCAGAGCTTCTCATTTTGCATAATAATCAACAACAAAGCGTGACATTAGCTCCTCTTTTAGCCTCCACAGCTGTCACACTTTCCCTTCAAAGTGCAGCGACGATATTAAGTTAATGCTAAAATATTTAATGCTAAGCTAACTAGCCCCAATCTGGGCGGTTTTGGGGTTAAAAAAAAGTGAGCTGTCTGTTGTTAGCTAGTGCATGTCAGCGAATACTAGCCTGTGGTTTGTGTAGCTTGTGCAAGGTAGTGTGATTGTGGTGCAGATAGAGCGACCTTAACTGCGCCGAAACGTCCAACGGCTGCACCTTGAGCTAATGTAGCCGAGTTAGCTTGTCATGTGTGCAGGTTCGCACCTATGGACCGCTGCTAGCAGGCTAAGTAGCCTAAGTTGGCCAGGCCTGCACAACGTTACTGCTGCTGCTCGCTGTACAGTGTTGCCTTTTTGTTTTAACCCTTTCTCTGCTTCACGCACACAGCAGCTTCAACTGCAAGTCTTCTAGTAAACTGTAATACCACCTACAATTATCCAAATATACTTCGTAACCTTACTTGGACAGACGACACACCTCATTGTTCCTACTGTGGATATACTGTAGACATCCAGCGTCTCATGTCCACTGTTCATGCTGTCATTTATATTCTTGCTTATATCGCCGACTTATATCTGTTAATACGGTATCATACAGTATAAACCCGTACTGCACATACTACTGATATATATCTTGCATACTCACGTGCACTATTTCTCCTGGTTGTACTGGTCTTGAAGCTTGTCCACTTGATCATTTTACATTGCTCCACAGCTTTACTGTGTACATCTTGCATTTCATATCTTCTGGGCATACTGTCATTTATCCCTGTTTTTGATAGTGCTCCTTATCCAGCAAACCTATGTCTCTTACTCGTGTATTGTACAGTATAATCTACTACTGCACATACTACTTGCATACTCGTATCTCTTGCCCACTTACATGCACTATTTATACAGTTAATTCTTGTCACATCTATCTTTATATTGCTATTTATCTACAACTCCTATGCAGCTTATTCTATTTATGTACTTAGTGTGTTCACTCTGTATCATACTGTCAAAAACCCATCCTGCATATACTAGATTACTAGTACATATTGGATATTCATTTGTCTTGCATACTTATATGCACTGTTCGTACTGCTATTGCTCCTCATGCTGTCATTTATGTATATCTTTATATTGTCGTTCATCTAGCATACTTATATGTCTTCATACCACCGTGTTTATACTGTTAAAACTACATCAGACTTCTTATTCTGTGTATATTGCTTAAACGTCTTGGATATACACATATCTTGCATGATTACATGCGTCGTTTATACTGCTCATTTATCCTTATCTTTAACGACAGCTTATTCAGTGTATATACTTGCACTTTCTCGGTATTTCAATCTTCATAACAGCCTGTTCGTAGTGTTAAAACTATATCATACTGCATACACTGTTTATATGACTCATACATTTGGAATATCTGTATATCCTGTATGCTTAAATGCACTTTTTATACTGTTTATTCTGCTCGTATTGTCATTCATCCCTAACTTTGTGCAGTTATTTATCTAGTACACTTATGTTACCTACAGCTTTTCCTATTTATATCCTTAGTGTCTTAATACCACCCTGTTCGTACTGTTAAAACTCTGCCGAACTGCATACACTATATATATACTACTTCTTCTGCTCGCTTGTTAGATGGCAAACTGCATTTCGTTGTTTTACTACTCTGTGCAATGACAATAAAGTTGAATCTAATCTAATCTAAATAGCAAGCTTGTCGAAGCCAGCCATCGTATTTTTGTTTTAATCAGGTTTTAGTGTTTTTAATCAGGTTTCATGCCAAATAATGAGGAATACGCCCATGTTAGCTTGTCTCCCATTTAAAAACAGATATTCCACTAGCAAACAGTGGACTCTGCTGTCAAGCTTGTCTTTCTGTGTAGTGATGACAATGGAAAGCTTGTCACACCTCCTCTTACTCTCCCACTTTTCTGTGATAGCCTACCACAGATTATTTCTACTAGGCACCACTCTATGACCAGATTATGAGCTCGAGGGCCAAATACCTACATAGGCATGGAGATCCCCTGCAGTGCACCACACAGTGAGCTGGTTAAGGTCTTATGAGTTTGGACAGAGTGAGGAATGTGAACCCTAACACGATCCTCTACAAGCTGCGAAAGGGAAAGCTCATTAAATTCTAGACTTGAGAGGGGGCATGGATTTGAGTGCTGCATAATAAGAGGTAAACGTGACGCATTCTGACTTCAGAGGTCTCGTCTGCTTTTACTGTCACAGTTGAGCTGAGCGCTCGCGAACATGTGCACACTTTAATGCCGTGTTTGTATGGCGCCTTTGCAGTAACGCTCCCATCCTGTGTCATACAAATCTTAAGCCACAGCAGCATCTATCCGGTATATGACTGGTTTTGTGGCTTACCCTTTGTGAAGTGAGTTTTGGTTTCTCGTCACATCTCTGAAGCATGATTGAGGGAGGATATAAATTAGCCATCGCTGAAGAAACTTTGATTTCAGCGCAAGTTTTGCTGAGCATTAGTAATGCTTTGGATTAGTGAAATGGGCTGTCAGGGAGACATTCATTGATGCACTTTTTTCTTTTTTCTGCGTCAGGGTGCAAAGTTCATCTTTGAAAGCTGTCCAAACTGAAAACGGCAGTCACCAATGATCATCATTCCGGTAGGTTTGACCTCCCGATCTGACAAGGTGATTGTGTAGACTAATTACCAGCGATATTGAGAAGTCTGCGCTCTACTTGATTCCCACATCAAAGGAGTGCATTATTTCACAGTGAGTGAAACCCTGAAATGACTCATCATTGATTATGATAAGCGAGTGGAAGGATTTTACTCAGTACGGGTTACATAACCGCACTGTTTATTTGCACATGTGCGCTTTTGACAGTTTTCGGCAGTGAGTTAAGCAATTTTGCTTAGTTTTATAATCTGAACAGCAAATTAAATGTAAAGTTAGCTTTTGTATATTCTCCCAAGCACATGAGCACTTACTTTAAACACATATGTGCTCAAAAAAGGAATGGATGATTGCATGTTAAGTCAGGCTCAGGCAGTGGTTTCTCATGCAGTTTATATTGCTCTGTCATCTAGACGCAGGATAATCTATTAGGCTTTGTGTCTAGGACAACCATGTGAGTCGAGTTGCTCTGTCAGAGCTGAGCTCGCCCTCCCCCTGTGTTCTTAATGCTCTCAGAGCTTCTGTCCAATTCTCAGAAAGGATCAGAGTCGGCATGCACAGGAAGACAGGTGTGTTTTCTGTGTGTGGATATTCAAAATCTACATAAATGGCTTTCATATGTGCAGGCAACGCAAGCAGAACCAACTGATGTACGCTTGCCTTCAGTAAAAACGTATAGATCTGTTTGTACCTGCCTTCATTGTTGTATGCTTTGTTTTAAGAGAAGATGAAGTGACAGGAGGAACAAGAAAATTAGTTTTTGATTTATTAAGACAGAATATTGCAACTAATTAAGAGCTTGAATGTTCAGGTACGCAGATCAGCTTGACAAAATGCGTCAAACAAAATCTGAAAAATGTCAAAGAGTGAAATCATTATAAGTCACATTTAGCTTTCAGCAGTGGCTCTGTCATCTGGGACTGTTTATGTTTTGTTATAGATTAGTTTCAGCACGTGAAGCTTCTGTTTGGTGTGAATCAGACTTGAGAGATTGAACCCTAAGTGTTAAGGTAGTAGCAGGCAGTGCAGGAACAATTAGACAGCAAATTTAATTAGCATCTTTTAGGTGACAGATAATTCTCTGGATCAAGTACAAGAGAACAGAGATGAGTTGTTTTTTTGGCTGCCACTCATGGAAGTAATCAATAATTATCAAACAAATATTAATAATATTAGCCTTAATTATGCAGCTCTACGTTCATCAAGTCATTTGCAATTCCCTCTTTTGCTCCTTTTTCTAGCACCAACGCCCTTATATGTTAATCATGACTATAAATTAATGATTAGAACGAAGGAGGCTTCACGGGTCGAGGGAGGGCGTTTGAGTGTGAAAGTCTCTCTATGCCTGTTTGCTTTGCAGACAGCGAAGCATCAGTTGTTAAAAGTAAAGCATAAGATGTTTACGAAGACACAGAAGAGAGGATGTTTGTCGTCTCCAAGAAAGGAAATGTGTTTTTTTGCTTACTGCTGTGGGAGGTTTTCTAGTGAGCGAACCGCCCTGGTGCACATTCAGAACGGTTAGGAGGGAGCAAGGTTGTATGAGGTCAACCAACTGTCAGCCAGAGACGCCCAAGCATAGACGTACGAGGCCGGGGACATGCAAATTTTGCCAAAAATAATAACTGTTTCTTCAGTATTATGCTTTTTTTTGTCTTGCATAAACATACCATTACTGCAGGTTACAAAAAGTGCACTGCTTAGGCATCACTCAAAGGTTAAAATACAGTTTCCTGTGGTTGTATTCGCAATACAAGCGTCTTAACTGTGGTTACACTACACTCTGTAGCAGTCAATGGGATGTGTGTGCATGCAAGATGTTGAAGACAAAAGACAATCTTGTGTTTAGTCAGTGTTCCTCCATCAGTTTGTGCTGAGCTTTTCGAGTTTTACAGACAATGTGAGGCAAGGTGAGTTTATTTATAGCACATTTAATACACCAAAGGCTATTCAAAGTGGTTTACATAATGCATTAAAATTTTTAAAAGTTATTGCATCTGTCTGTGCATATTTCATTGCAGCTGATAATGTGCTACCTGCAAGCTTTGACTCGTATAGAAAGTACTTGGCCATCTTTATGTTTTATGGTTTTCAATACTGTCTTGTATAATTGCATGTCACGCAAACTGTCTCTGCGTTATATATTAAAATGAGGTGTTTCGGTTGTGGTCTAGAAGTATTTAGAGCGCTCAGTTGTCGAAATTGAATTCACTCATATTCATTTGTGAAAGCTGTGGTTTTCAACTCCTACACACGACACTGAAACATTTGTGGGCAAATGTGGCACTTGCTGTTGAAAGCTCGACAATATGGCTGCAATTTCAGATCACAGCGACGCCAAACAGCGGAAATGCACCTTTTTTTTTTNTCTCTTTTTTTTTTTTATCTCACAGGTGATGCACAGTAAATGGCTGTTAAAGCGAGACGCGGAGGTCCTCACGGCTGTTCTGGCACTCGGCTCGTCTTTACCTGAAAGCCGCAACATTCTACAGGACAGCAGCCCTCAGAGACACTGAATCTGCAGCTGCCGTAATAACTGGAGAGGAGTTTGGCTTCAGATGTTCTGCTGATTTTGTGGTCACATTTTTAAGCTTATGGAACAACATTTGGAACGGATTGTATGTCTTTCCAACTGCTTTTTTTACCTCGGACACCATGGATGTTCTCTTTGAATCAGGTTGACTGTCTCTCACCTCATCCCCTCCTTCCTCTCTCTTCAGCAGAAGGAGGGTGGGGGATTGGTGTGGCGTCCCCTAACCCTCCTCTGTAGGGTGGGCCCAGCCTACCGAGACACCACAGCAGTTACTCTTTTGCATTGCCTTGTGCTCCCCACCAACAGCTCCATCCCTCTTCATGAAATCCTGCCAGAGCCTCAAGGAAGAGGTTTCCGTCCCCAGCCTTGGCGGGATGTCACAGGAGGAGGGACGGAGGGCGCCGGTGTCCCAGTCCTATTTTCACTCTGCGAACCCTGACCTGGATCTGACGGGAAAGCTTTACAAAAGGGAGGTTGGTGGCAAGCCTTATTCTGTGCTAGTGGACAATAAAATGGCATCCAAGACATCCATCGGTGACCAGAGCATCGGTCAGTTGCCCACCCAACATGTGACTCCGCAGCAGTATTTCAGAGAGGGAGCAGCTGCCCAAGAGGTGGGGACGCAGGGGTCCCAGGCTGGCAACGAGGGGTCCTCCGAAGACACTGAGGATGATGACGAAGATGACGAAGAAGAGGGAGAGGATGGCGACGAGGGCTTCAAGCGAGAGCAAATCATTGTAGAGGTTAACCTGAACAACCAGACCCTTCATGTGTCCAAGGGGGACAACAAAACTGGAACCACGGCAGATGACTCGGAGAGAGCCGGAAGCGACGAAGAAGACGAGGAGGAGGAGGACGAGGAAGAGGAGGAGGATGACGAGGAAAGCCCCGACGAGGAAGAGGAAGAAGACGACGAGGACGATGAGATCGAAAGTCAAAGAACGAGATCCAAGAGGACCCGTCGAGGTGCTAGCAGCGCAGCAGCTCCCAGCCAGCCGCGGAGGAAAAGCCTCAGAACGGCTCTGAGCGCCGCCACCGCCGGGATGACCACCAGGGGGCGCCGGAAGCGAATGGAGCCCCCGAAGAGCAAGCGCAGGTCAGCGAGGTCAGCGCCCTCCTCTGCCGGCGGCACGATGGCGGGAGGGAAAGCGGAGGTGGAGGAGAAGGAGATGCTGGCGTGTGAAAAGTGTCCTCGGGTGTTCAACACTCGCTGGTACCTGGAGAAGCACATGAACGTCACACACAGACGAATGCAAATCTGTGACAAGTGTGGCAAAAAGTTCGTCTTGGAGAGTGAGCTCGCCTTGCACCAGCAGACAGACTGTGAGAAGAACATCCAGGTAAAGCAAACACCTGTCACACATCTGTATGATCACTAGGGATGCACAATATTGGGGAAAAAAATTGCGATGTGAAAAAATACTTGCATTTTTAGCAGATTACTTGAATAACTCTATTTGGAAAGAATTAAACACAGTTATTTGGGTGAATTTGTTAGTAAATGCATCTGCAAAGAAAATGTAAATAACTGTTAAAAACTTGCCAAACACCCAAATACTTTTTTGCTTTGGAAAGCCCTCAGATGTAGCTTTGCACTCGTCATACAGAGCTTGTGGTGCTTATTTAAATGGTCAAACAAATTAGCCGTGCTCCCTCCTGTAGTAACATTACTTGCAAGACACTGCTGTCTGAGTACCTGTTTTTTGGTCAACATCGTCCTTTCTGTAGGCAAAATATTTCCATACACCTGATTGCTCCTTTTTCCAACAAGGGCTTCTCTCCTGTTCCTCGCTCATTTTGAAACTGTGTCTTATAAATTAGTTTTAAAAAATGTACCCTTAAATCTCTGTAAATCATGTTCTCTTGTAGGTTAGTCATGGAAAATGAGAATCATCTGAGTTCTTGCAAACACAAATCGCAATGTCACTGCTGAAAAGATATATTGTCCAGCCTTAGTCATCCTTCTTGGAAGTTATTCTGAATAACTGAGTGTCTTTCCAGAGTTTACTGGGTTACTTGGCATTAAGATGTTTAAATGCCCACACAAAATTAGATAAATATCGGGTTCATTGATATATTTATATGTTTATTAGTTGCTGTGATGATGTAAACTAATGTTAAAGCAGATTAAATTTTGCGTATTCTGCTTGAGTGCATGTGAAACAGCAACATTTCCTTTTAAAGTTGCTTCACAAAATAATGGTTTCATTGTGAATTGAATAGAGCTGCACCGATCAGTTGTCAAATAGAAAATTAGTCAACTATTTGATAATTGATTAAGAAAAAAAGTCTAAATTCTCAGATTACAGCTTCTAAAAATGTGAGTATTTTCTGGTTTCTTTACTTCTCTGTGACAGTGAACTAAAAATCGTTGAGTTGTGGACAAAACACGACATCTTGGGCATTAAAAAAAACACAGTTTGACTTATTTATTTATAACATTTTCTGACATTTAAGAGAGTAAATAACTTAATTGGTTTATCCATAAAGTGAATTAACAATGAAAATAATCGTTTCAGCCATAGAGGTAAAGAAGCAAGTTGGTTTTGCTTCTGGCCAAAAGAAAGAAAGAAAGTTAAATGTCTGTGGCCAAAATACTTCCTTAAACTGACATTTTATTTTTTTCCATTTATGGAAAATCTTAAGCCTGTAAACATGAGAGAAGATTTTATAGGCGACTCAGTGAAAACAGATTTCCGAAACTACCTTCTTATAAGCAACACTTCACTGCTGTCAGTGTTAATATTTCAGCAAAGTGGCTCCATCGTGGCTTTTGTTCTCTAAAACTGAAAAAAGGTGATTCAGCGTTTCAATACCCAAGGGTCATACAGCTGTTTTGAATAGCTTAATTTAGCCTCTGTCTTGTTGAAGCCCGATTTGCATCTTTACTTACTTTGAAGAAAATCCTCTTTGAGCCGCTTGCCCCAGCCGTTCAAATCAGTTGAAACACTTCCAGGTTGCAAAGAAAGACTTTCTTTAATAAATAGCTTTGAGTCACAGAGATGAAAATAGCTTTTATTAATGCTTAAACTGTTATTGCTCTTCTTTTGTCCTGGAGGCAACACTCAAATGAATGCTTTCTTTTTAAAGATGCCATTTTTCTGTCATCTGGTCATAACAACACAACAGTCTGTGAAGCTATAAAGTGTAGTTTTTCTCTCCTGCCAAATTTTGTCTGTCAACAATAGTGACAACAAAAGAGAGCAGTAGTTGTCAGTATTTTTTTGTACCACAGGACACATGAATGAATATGCCTCAGAGTACAGTGAGTTCATTTTAAAAATAGGAAAAATAATAAATCTGTCCTTTCAAAAAAACTAAACATGTGTTTTAAAAGTAATTGTGAGGAAAGTAGCAGCACTGAGATGTAAGACAATATGCACACAACTGGTTCCACAGCGTTTCACCAGTTTTATGGAAGCGGAAAAGAGAGAGTTTTTTTTTTTAAATATCACATGACATCTTGACCAGCATCTGCTTGAAGGCATGTGGAAGATTGTGAAGCTATCTGTAAGAGGTTTCTTTGATGAAATTCAAGCTTTTTGGCCCCTCCCGTAAACTGCTTTGGTGTTGTGTTTTGCATATTGACAGCAGCGTGATTTGCAGGGATACTTCTCAGCAGCAGACTCTGCAGTCTGCAAGATAACTGCCATCACACGACCGGATTTATTTTTCCGGCAAAGGCAACAACCTCGAGCATAAATCTGGAGCTAGACAGCAATGGCGTCAAAACAACTTTAATGTTCTGTAGAGGGCCAAGCTAGATACTGAACTTGATTACAGTCGAGAATTGTGCAGCTTTGCACAAGAAGTTGGACAAAAATAATTCATTTAATTTGGGTCTTTTTCTCCCAGTCGGTGTGTAATTACAATCACTGTCATTAAGTTTTGGAGAATAAAACATGACAAGGTGACACAATTAATTAGCCGTCCCTTTGTTTTTTCCTCCCTGATGACATCTAAGCTGTTTGTCGTTTGAAGACGCATCGTGATTTCAGCAATATAAATCCTTGTTGATTTTTTTTTCTCCAGCAGAGGGGGCTGGTGTATAATAAAACATCTTTGTAAATTATGAACCAATAACGACCACCACATGCTTCATCTTTTGTCTTTTTTTTGTCATCTTTTGTATCTTCTCCAGTGTGTCTCCTGCAATAAGTCTTTCAAGAAGCTGTGGTCGTTGCACGAGCACATTAAGATCGTACACGGCTATGCAGAAAAGAAGTTCTCGTGTGAAATCTGTGAGAAGAAATTCTACACTATGGCTCATGTCCGTAAGCACATGGTTGGTAAGTTGGGGCCTGTTAATTCTGAGCTCCTGTCGTCCTTCATCACCTCGATATGTAGAAGTGTGAGCCACCACAATGTCGGTTTCATACAGTTGAACCCCAGACTATCATTGTTCATGTTGAAGCTATGACTTTACATCTACAGTTCTATAGTTTGAAAGAAATTAGATAAACTGTCTTATATTGAATAAAAAAAGGGTCAAAGATGACTGCAGTTTCTCTTGAGGATGACTACAGTTAACCCTATGTCTGTAGTGTGTGTTTTTGTTCTTGTTTTTTTCCCTACTTGTCAGTTTTCTCATTGTTTTTCTTCTCCCCCCAAAACCCAGCTCACACTAAGGACATGCCATTCACCTGTGAGACATGTGGGAAGTCGTTTAAACGCAGCATGTCTTTAAAAGTTCACTCACTGCAGCATTCAGGAGAGAAGCCCTTCCGTTGTGAGGTAAGTTGAACACGTCGTGGTGCTCTTCTGACATGAATTCCAGGGTTTTCCTGGCTCAGAATGGACCTTTGGGCGGTGACGGGGAATGAGGGAAGTATGATAGGTCTGCGTACAGTAAAGACAACAAGTCTCTGTGACCTTATTTGACAGAAAGGCTCCATTTTTTTACTGCAATAAAAAGTCCTGCACCTCTGTGGAAACAGAGCAACCATGACTAGGTGGAGAGTCTTTTGTACAGTATTACAGGTGTAATGCCATAAATCATAGACAAGGACAAACAAAAGGAATAAAAACCTCAAATCAGCATGTACAATGTTTTTCCAGGTGCTACAGTGCTGCTAAAAAAACACTGTTGGCTCTACATACTGTAAATATTTTACTACTTCTATTTTTCATTTTGTTTCCATTCTTGTCTCCTGTCTGGACTCTGCACTCACAGCCTGCAGTTCAGCTGAAAAGTCTCTGAATTGTCACATGACTGTTGTTTGAAGTTACTCATGGCTTCACTGTTGCACTGAAAAGCTCAGATGTTTTTGTTGTTACAGAATCTGAATGTAGCCAATAGTTTATTTTAGGCATTTTTAAATTGAGACGAAAGTGATAAAGTAGTTTTAAACTTAGCTTTGGTTAAGTTTTACGATATGTCACTCACAGGTTTTAGAGGGTTTGTGCTTAAACAAATTAACCACAGTAAACTGAAAACTGTTATTTTTATTTAAAGTTTTTGTCCTTTTGGTGCTGTTGATTTTCCTTTGTGGCTGCCTGAATCCTCTTTGGAGGATACCAGAAATGTTACTGTGCAGGAAAAACCCAGATAACCTACAATGACATGGATCTAGTTTACAACAGGCGTCAAAAATAATGACCACATAAAACAGGAACTTGTTTAAGGCCGCACAACTGGAGACCAGGTTTGCCTCGACTTTAACACAGCCTGAAACACTTTTCCAAGGCAAAACAGCTAGAGCAGTGTTTTGGAGGTTTGTTGTGTTGGATGGAAACTGTCCTTCAGGCGATCACAGATGCATTTGTTTTGACATTCAACATATAAGTAGAGCTGTGATTACTTCTCTGTTATCAACTATTTTAATAATTGATTTTGTTTTGAGTAAGTTTTAATTTAAAAAAACGGTTAAACTTATATTAAATCCAGCTTCTTATCGTTGTTTTCTGGACAAAACAATGTTTGAGGACACTGATTGACTTTTTCACAATTTTCTAACATGTCATAGACCAAACAACTAATTTATTATTAGAAAAAAAAATCAACAGACAAATTGAAAATGACAACAGCCGTACAGTTTCAGCCCTCCAACCATATGCAGTTTGTACAGGATTACTTGTATTCAGTGAAAAGGGGAATTTTACACCTGAGTGGGGCTTTTTTTTTGTTCAGACATATTTTCTGTCACCATGTCACGTGTCCCGCTGCTGTTGAAATATGTGTTTGGATGTCAAAGGTTATTCACATAACATGATAAACACAGGACGGAGCTCAGTTCCCAGCCAGACACTTTCAGTATTCCACATTTGACTGGCATGTTTTCCTCTTTGCAGTCATGGTTTGGTTTACTTTCCTGCTCTAAAAGCACTTAAAATCAGGCCGAACTTATATACTGGTGACGGTGTTCCATTGTTTTTCATAAATACACACATCTAAATGTCATCACTTGTCCTTTGAAATGCATTTATTCTGAGCTGAATTTAGTACTCAGGAGTGACGTCTTGAGCGGTTGCAGTTTTGATTAATTTCTCATTGTGGGCCCTAAAAGCAGGACTGATGTTGTTTTTACTCATGTGCCGTGTGGTTTGTGACTAACCCGAATTAGCTTATTCCATTGACCTCTTTCTCACAGTGACCATCCTCTGTGTATTTTGAATGACAGTTTTGTCATCTGTGTTGTACAGAAGAGCCAAACCATGCCACAACATGTCAAGTATTGGAAAACCACAAACACACACACACGCTGTTCATAAATTAACTAGAGCATCCGATGAATGTCGGACAAAATGTTCTTCTTAGGAATGTATTTAGTCATCTTGTGTAAAAGGATTTTGTTTGTTCTCAACGGGTTCAGCGCCAGCTGGTTATCTTAACTGTCTCTGACTTGTTAATTCAGAGGAAGTTTGCAGACTTGATGCTTTACTCCCCCTCAAAGCCAAGATGGCACACAGAGAACATGTACAAGGGTGGAGCTGCTCTAATTAAATGTTTGAAGACATCTTACACTGTAACATGTGATTACACGCTTTTTAAGTGCATGTAATGTAAAGGCCTTTCTCCTCAGTGGCCTTCCTTTGTAGTGCCATATGGAAACTGCTAGATTTTTCTCCCATAGACATATATTTAGTCAGGTGGTACCATTGAGATTTAAATACCTCACTTCAGGAAAAGACCTGACCAAAAAAGCCTCGCAATACAAACATACGGTGTTGCTGCATGCTCCCAAATAACCTGGTTGTTGACTTTTGCAATAACCTCATTTCTAAAACATCATGCATACACAAACCAGCAACTGGCTTTCTTATGTACAGTAGTTACACAACAGTCATGTAAACTCTAAAGAAGGTCACTTAACATTTTGAACAAACCAAAAGCAGGTTCAGGGCGTTTTTTTGGTTCCTGTGACATTTTACTGACTGTGGGTTCATATTTCACTGCAGTATGAAATCCTGTACCTCTATGGAAATCGTACAACCCCGACTAGAAGGAGAGAGAACCCAGAAATGACATGAAATGAAACAGGCCTGGACAAAAATGATGGTACCCCTAGAAAAGACTGAAAATAATGTCACCACAGGGACATGTTCAATCAAGGTGTGTCCTCTAATTAGCATCACAGGTGTCTACAAACTTGGAAGTCGGCCTATTTATAGAGTTACAAGTAGTCACTGTGCTGCTTGGTGACATAGTGTGTACCACACTAAACATGGACCAGAGGAAGCCAAGAAGAGAGTTGTCTCAGGAGATTGGAAAGAAAATGATAGACTAACATGTTAAAGGTAAAGGCTATAAGACCATCTCCAAGCAGCTTGATGTTCTTGTGACTACAGTTGCACATATTATTCAGAAATTTAGGATCCATGGGACTGTAGCCAACCTCCCTGGATGTGGCCGCAGGAGGAAAATTGATGACAAATCGAAGAGATGGATAATACAAATGGCAACAAAAGAGCCCAAAACAACCTCTAAAGACATTAAAGGTGAAGTCCAAGGTCAAGGAACATCAGTGTCAAATCACACCGTCTGTCATTGTTTGAGCCAAAGTGGACTTCATGGGAAACGACCAAGGAGGACACCATTGTTGAAAACAAATCATAAAAAAGCCAGACTGGAATTTGCCAAATTGCATGTTGACAAGCCACAAAGCTTCTGGGAGAATGTCCTATGGACAGACGAGACAAAACTGGAACTTTTTGGCAAGGCACATCAGCTCCATGTTCACACACACAAAAATGAAGCAAATCAAGAAAAGAACACTGTCCCTACTGTGAAACATGGAGGAGGCTCTGTTATGTTCTGAGGCTGCTTTGCTGCATCTGGCACAGGGTGTCTTGAATCGGTGCAGGGTCCAATGAAATCTCAAGACTATCAAGGTATTCTAGAGAGAAATGTGCTGCCCAGTGTCAGAAAGCTTGGTCTCAGTCGTAGGTCATGGGTCTTGCAACAGGATAATGACCCAAAACACACAGCTAAAAACACCGAAGAATGGCCAAGAGGAAAACATTGGACTATTCTGAAGTGGCCCTGATCTAAATCCTATTGAACATCTGTGGAAGGAGGGGTACCAACAATTTTGTCCATATGTGTATATTCCTTAAAAAATGACAACAGTGTTGTAGCTCTTTCTAAAAGCCTTAATGATTTGCTTAAACTTGTCAACAGAAACATTTTGCTTCTGAAACATTGTCAGCAGTGCAGAAAGAGGATCATGTGACAGATGTTTAGTCTGAGTGTAAGTTTCTGTGTGTGTCTTTTGTGGACATGCCCGTGCATTGACCTGTGTGTTATCTGACCACCTCTGTTGTTTCTGCTGCAGAACTGTGACGAGCGGTTCCAGTACAAGTACCAGCTGCGCTCCCACATGAGCATTCACATCGGACACAAGCAGTTCATGTGCCAGTGGTGTGGCAAAGACTTCAACATGAAACAGTATTTTGATGAGCACATGAAGACACACACAGGTAAGAAATCAGTTTGGCTCAATGATCTGGGGAGCTCACACAGGCCAGTGTTGTTTTGGTTCATTGTTATGGCCCTTTTTGACCCCAGGGGCTTCATTCTGGGCTCAGATACAGCAGTTTTGAGCTGATTCAACCCCACTTCACCTCTCCTGACAATGATTGTGTGAGCAGTTGACAAATCCAGTCTTAAACCTCTCAAACGGCTCGTAGACTCATTGGGCTCATGTTGGTGCTCCATAGTCTCAATTTTGCTTACATCCCCCTCACGTGAGGTACTGCTTTTCTCTCCAATTCGTCCTTCTGGCACAGTATTTTCCAATCTTGTAGCATGTGCGTGTCTTAGATTACAGAGAAAAATATCTTTGAAGTTTCTTCATACGGCTGATGATGCAACTGGAATTCAAAATCTGTCAGGATTCTAGTTTTAAAGCTTTAGTGGCTGCAGAGGTTTTATCGAAAACTGGGGCCTTTACAAACGTGCCAACTAGAAAGAAACTCGGTTTAAATTTAGTTCCCAAGCTACAGTTTTTGCCCACCAAGACTTTCCCACCTCAGAAAACACAGTTTCCAAAAGCCCAGGAATGATCAGAGTGGAGTTTTTGGTAAATAACGTCACTTACTGGTCAGACACTAACGTCACTTACTAGTCAGACACTAACCTCAAAACATGCATAAATACAGAATTCATCACTGAATTACTTAATTTCACATTTAAAGCTATGCAGCCAACCAAAACCAAAAAAATGACTGCAGACTGATACTTACTGTGTTGAAGACAGACGTCTCGCCTGTCTGGCACGTTCTGTGTCTCCTACCATCTTTGCATATTTCATTTCCAGCTTCTATTTACGGGACACAGTTGCACTGTAGTAAATTACAAAGAACGAGTTGGCTCACCTGTTGCAGCATTACATGCAAAAACTATTTCCATATTTATCTTCCTACCACATTTGACTTCACGTCACTTACATTTGACCACCGTTTTCGGCCACAATTAGGTCCTGAATGAACTATTTTACTGAGAAATGCCTTTTTTTTAGATTGTTGTTCATCAGATGTAATGTTTGTGTTCTTCCTCTTGCAAATCTCAACGCAGATTCTTAAAAATCCTTGAAAACTTTGCCAACCAACAATGTTGCTGGACTCGGCTATACAGTCCCTAAAAAAGGAAAGACATGGGAGGTTTCCAAGACGAACATTATAGTGGTGAGCGCAGGAGACTTCGCCCAGTTTCCGTAATGAGAGGGACGTAGTACATCAAAGAGCCGTGCATATATTGCGGCTCATAATGACTACCCAGACACATGCCGTATTACATCCCTCTGATTTTCTGTCCCTGTTGCATTGCTATTTCTAAGACCAAACTGAGCAGCGATGCCTGCATGTGCTGCACCGTTTCCCTCCAGCCGTGCCTGTCGTGGGAGGACACACCGCACTCCGTTGGCCCTCTCAGTTCTATTTGTGATGTGTAATTATGCTACCCTCTCCTCTCCCTGCTGCTACCAGCCAATTTAGCCTCCTCCAGTAGGGGACACACCCAGTCGTGCTCTGTAATAGGCAGCGCACGTCTCGAACATCCAAAGTTTGCTTCGCTGCTCGTCGATTTTTCATGAATTATTGCGCGTGAATGCAATGTAACAGTTACAGAGGACTAGCACATTAGTTGTCACCTTTTGATATTCATTTGGTGTGGAGGAGCTTCACACATAACATGCCAGAATAAGGCATTTAGAGAGCCCTTCAGCAGCCTGTTAATAGATGGCTGTGTGGGTGGTAGCAGGCACATTCAGTGGCTCCATGGAGGGAGGTTAATGAGAGTGGTATTCCAACGGAGCTGCTGTTGTTCACTTTCACATCTCCACTCAAAGTGTGAATTGTAATAGCTTCCTGCGGAGTGGGTGGGTTGACAGCAGAGACCCTCAATTCAAGATGGCAACTTATTTGCATTTTTAAAAGTGAACCGTTGCTCTCTGCAGCGACAGTTAAAGGGGAAAAAAGTTAACTTCAGTCTCTTTCAGACGTGCACTCATTTCCGTTGATCTAACGGCAGTGTCGACTGCACGTCTGAATGAGCATCCTGCTCACTTCACTGTAGAAGTCGCTAAGGCTATCTTACCAAGTTGGACCCAGTGACATTTCACTTTCACCTCTGCACAAGTCAGAACTGCACTCTGACACATTAACAGGACGGCAGACACAAGCAGATGTACTTTGAGCTGTGTGAAGTGATTAAGGGAAGGCTTTTTCTTCATTTTTGCACCAATATTTGTCAAAAACCATCACAGAGAGAGTATTTCCTCTGAGTTTGTTAAATACCTGCAACTTCAGACACCCACAGAATCCACCTGAGTGTCTCCAAAGCAAGAGAGCTGCCTGCATTTTCACACATGGACCAACAGTGCTGGTAACATCATTGATAACTTGTAATTAGAGAGGTCAGTCTGAGTGAGGATCCAACTGCAAGTCACAATATGTTCTTTTTTCATATCCGACAGGTGAGCTTTCACACAGTTTAGAGTCGCAGTGTAGTTTATCGCTTCCAGCTGTTTTTAAGAGTCTTTCCTCTGAATTTATTAAAATACCTGCAGCGTAAGGCAGCAGCAGGATCCATATATGCAGGAGTTGTGAAATTTACACACAGAGCAACAGCAGTAACTTCAGTATTTAATAACAATAAATTATCCCTGACATTGAGACGGGACGGATCGGGATCGAACAGAAAGTTGCACTGTTCTTTTACTCTACGTAAAGTAGTAATTACATTATCATCACACATGAACATAATTTTCAGTGTTTAGGAAGTAATCAATAAACTTTGCTGTTAGTTATTTGTACACTTTCATAAGCTGTGAGATTAGTTTATTTAGTTTTTTTGCTTATTATACATCAGCTGATGTATCGTCTAGTCTCGTGTGAATGAAGGATATTGCACAGCAGTTCTCGCTTTCACTGTGGCATCTGACCAAAGCCATGAGGACCATTAACACAAAAATGACCCATGTGACCCGTGTCTGAAGAACAGATATGTCTGAAAAGGGCTTTTGTTATATGGAGAGCTTTAAGTTCAATTTTGACAAATCATTTGGCTTGTGTCACTCCCTCTCTGCTACTACTTTCTATTTCTTCTGTTCATTGATGGAGTCTCTTGTCTTTTATGAATCTGTGCAGGTGAAAAGCCTTTCATCTGTGAGATCTGTGGGAAGAGCTTCACCAGCCGACCCAACATGAAGCGCCACCGTCGCACCCACACAGGCGAGAAGCCGTATCCATGTGAGGTTTGCGGCCAGCGCTTCCGCTTCTCCAACATGCTAAAAGCGCACAAAGAGAAGTGTTTCCGGGTCACCAGCCCCGTCGTTCTGCAGACTAGCGGCCCTCCTGTGCCTGTCCGCATCTTTGCCAACACCTTCTCCTCGTCCTCTTCTTCCTCCACCTCCGGCCCCGGGCCATCTGCTGCCACACCGGCCACAACCTCAGCCTCCCTGGGCCTCAACCCGACAGGAGGGTCCCTCCCTCCACAAGGCCCTGTGGGACACACGTTCTCCCATGTGCAGCTCCACTCAACGCCCTCCCACCATCATACTCACCCCTCGGCGACCCAGCAGCACCTCTCTAACACGCCCCAACACGCCCCGCCTCACCCCCACCACCACCTGGCTGTGCCCCCCGTCTCCCACCTCCCTCCTCCGCCGGCTCTTTTTAAAAGCGAGCCCCTAAACCACTGTGGGCACGAAGACAGCAGCTACCTGCACCACATGGCGCCGCCCGACAAAGGCCCTGGAGCCCAGCAGCACCACTGAACTGTGCTCCAGGTCTATAGGCCAGCACCAAACCTCGCCTTGTTCCTCGTCTTCTCATAGTCCTGCCTCAGTTTCTTAGTTGTAAGGCACCTGAAGCCATGTCTGCAGAGAGGACGTAGAGTTAGTGGAGGAGCTGCAGCAGTGTGGGTCTACACAGGAGGCTTTCAGGCGCTGTAGTGAGATTTTAGAAGTGCTCAGAGCCCAGTACAATGTAGTTTTGTGCGTAAAACGCAGAAAAATAGACTCAAAGCATGAATAGCCTGTGTAGACAGCCGGAATGAGGAAAAATATGTTCCGTCAGACAAGTGCGAGACGGATGACTGAAAAACGCAGCTTCTGTGTAGACATGCCATAACACAAGGATGCACCTGTCAAAAGGATCTCAATAATTCAAGCTAAACATACACACTTGTGTGTATATGTGAAAGATTCAGACTACGGCGCCCTGAGTGCACACATCATTGACCCCTACTTAAAACCCCAGATCAACTGACAAAGATTTTACAACCTCTACGATTTTTTTTTTTCTTGAACATTTCCTTCGTCACAAAGTGATTTTTGTGTGAGTTCTCTATCTGTACATTGATGGGTGTAAACTATCTCCTTTTCATCAAAAAGCTGCTGATGGAAGTCGACATATGTATTACCTGGGCTTCATGGATCATCGAAAATCGGTGTCATCGAACTTTTCCTCTTCATGTTAAGTTGATTTCAAGGTCACGCGTTGGTTAAGGACTCAAGCTTTCTGTGCAGGTCCTCCCCAGAGCAATACTCCACCTGTCCTCCCAGTTATACTGCAGAGCCTTGGGGCCCCACAGAAATGTTTAATGAATGTTGAAACTGGTTCTACCTGAGCCTTTCTCTGTCCTAAGGCCACGACTGTGGCTTTTTGTCAGAGGGGCAGCAACAGTAAAGCAAGATGCAGTGCCATAGGTTACAGTAAGAAGGGGGGGAGGAGGAGGAATTTTTGTAAAGGACATTGGAAAAATAAGATTTTGTAAATGGTTACTTGAATCTAGACGTAGTCTGAGATTCATATCATGGTAAAATGGTGCTTTCCATTCCAGTACATGAAATATTTCTTAATTTTGCTTTTACATTTGATTTTCACAAGTATGAAATAACAAAGTATTGTGTCATACTGAACATGTCTTGCCAGCCTGGCTTTTCTACAGTGGATTTGAGGTTTGTGATCAAGATAACTCGGAGTACTGCAGGACATGCCCTCGGCGAACGCACCCTCACACTTACTCAAGCACACACACATATACACACACACACACACAAAAAGACAAAGACCACACGGTCACTGATTGACTCGCTTTGATCAGTGCCACCTCAGCTTTTCAGTACTGTCGGTCAACAGATGCTTTTAGATAACGGACGACTGTCAAATACTGCCACTGTGAGGGGCCAGACGCACGGCCCCATCAGGATTTACCCCCACCTCCCTTCGCTGCTGTCGAAATGATACGGGTTACCATGTTAAAGGTCATCTGACACACACAGTACACACAACTGGGACCTTTTTCATCAAAGTTCTTAACAGGAAAATATGCATATTCCTCTCTCAGCCTATATTCCACGGTTTGGTGTGGGGTGTTGTTATGTAAAGGTTTGTTTTCATGGTAGATCCACACAGGCAAACGCGTGTCTAAACCTGTTGAATGTTGCCTACGCAGAATGATGGCTGATGAGTCATTCATATGTTTTTGTTTTTGTTTTTTTGTTCTTTTTTTTTACTGATAATTTGCTCAGTTTTAAGCTAATGAATGGTTCCGTCATGTAGATAATAAACTGTTGTTAGCACATGATAGGAAATGTCAGGATAAGAGGCGGTGGTCATACAACTTCTAATACTTCTTGTATAGATAGGCTTATGTGTGATCAAATCAGCGCGAGAAATTACATTGATTAATGTAATAGCCAATAGTGTGAATGTTTAAGTGTTGAAAAGAGACGGTTGGCTTGTATTTGGCACGACTTTGGGTTGCCTCTTCACCCAGTTTGATGGCGTGTTTAGAGGAAGTGCGAGTGCGAATGTGTGCATGCATTAGTCTCTACCAGTCTGGTTGTCCCCAGTGCTCTTGTACCAAAAGCTGCTTTTTACACAGTGTGCCCCAATATATGTGTATTTTGGGGGATACCTGAGATGGACGAATAGCAGTAAATTTTAACACAACCCTCGGTATTCAGTCTGAAGTGGTTAAGCTCGGTAGTTTAGTCCCTTCTTTTTTTTGGATTTGAGACCTGCGATTATCCTGCCATTTCTGTGGGTCTTAACACTGCTGCAATGTTTGCTTATCACCCTGTCTCCCCCTCGGGTTCACTGCTGTGATTCAGCATTTTTTTGCAGTATAGATCTTTGTCTTTGTTTTTGTTTTTTTTAAACCCTTTTTCATTTGTGTGTATTCTCTGCACTTTACTGCTGCGTGAGTGAGGCGCAGGGAAGGGTAGGGGGTGGGACTGACGATGCATTGTGGAACAGAAGTGCAGTTGTGGCTGCATGGGAAAGGGTGGAGGTGGTGACGTTGAGTGGATGTTTTTAGGCAAGGAAAGGAGGAGAATCCCGGGTGGAGGTGGGTAGTGTGGAAGGGGCCATCGCAAACAAAGGACGTTTCTCTCTCTTTTTTTTTTTCTTAGTGTGTGCTTAAACCGAAATTTCCTATTTTTTGATTTAAAAAAAAAAATAGAAATACACTTTTGCTCCAATATGGACCTCGCTTCAAAACGAAAGTTCCTCCTGCTTTGGCGACTTTACACTAGCCCCTCCACACGATGTCTGAAATACATTCTTCATTTTACATGTTTTTTTTTTCTCTCCGTCATGTCTTTTTTCAGTTTGCAGAATGATTCTCCTCCTCCTTTCTTTGTTATATAGAATGCACTTTCTACTAAATTTCTTGGGTAGTTAAGAAAAAAATAACATTGTATATTCTTTAAAGATGTTTTAAAAAAAATCAATATACTTTTCCCCTTTGTATTTTTAACCACTTAATGTAGCATTGCGTATTTTATTATTGTATCTGGTACAAAATGTGCAGCTTTATAATGTCCTGGTTTGTCTTTTTTTTTTTTTTTTTTTGTATGTTTTCTGGAGATTGAGGAGAAGTGAAAAAGTTGGGCCTTTTTTGATAATGTACATTTAACTGACTGCTAACTTTGAGAAGTAAAAACAAGTAGCCATGATTATCGGGTGTTTCTGTTTGTCTTCGAAAGCTTTTGCTGTTCAATTGTGGAAAAATAAGGATTTGTGCACAACATGTTCCTGATAACACGCCGGCGTTTCATTTTTAATTAGCAGCTTTCGCACTCAGCTTTTCTGGAAAGTGTCGATTCCAGCTGACTGTTGCAACTGCACAGGCTTTGCTCGAGTGGTATTATTCTTCTGTTTTTAGGGTCACTGGGTTCTTGGCATAACACGTTGCCTAACAATATCTGCAGGCTGCACATGACCCAGAGGATTCAGCAGCTGACGCCTTTGCTTTTCAGTTTTTTAGGTCCTCTTTTTTGTTGTACCACTTCCTATTCTTTTGATGTCACAGGAGGTTTTCTTATTTCCACAGGCTGTGATCTTGGTAGTCTTTGACCTCAATTTCCATTCACAACACACAACAGAAGTGAGTACACCCCTGATCACCTAAATGTCAAATAATTCAACGTTCTTTCTCTTTACAGGAGTTCTGTTCTTTCTAAGTTGGACAGTAGAGTATTTGCCTCTGTGTAAAACTCAAAACTAACAGTTTAGATTTACTTTATCAGAGATATAGGCCCTACAGTAGGAATTCAATGCAACAAAAGTCAATACTGTGATTCATAGCTTGGTTTTTCAATACCTTATATGTCCACCTTTATGTTGGATGGCAGTATGGAGGATGCCACATTTCTTCCTCAAGTTTCTGTAGACTGGAAGTCATCCTGTCAGCCAGTATTTTGCTTTATCCACACACATTCTTGGAGCTATTTATTGATGTCTTTTGCACTCATGCAGCCCCATTTCATTACATTTCCACCTCTGTTCTTCACTTTCAGGACTATGCATTCACTGTGGTAGTCCTGGTTAAGTTCACACCAAACATGCTGGACTTCATCTTAGCCAAACAAATTCACTCTGGCTTCATCTGACCAAAGAATGTGCCTCTAATACTCATTTTGTGTTGCTTCTACTCTCATCCCTTTGGATAAAAGCGTCTCCCAAATGAAATTATAGAATTGTGCAATTCATCAGGCTTCTTTTCAAGTTTCATCTTGCCGTTTTATGCTGACGAGTAGTCAAACATATTTTTCTTGGATGCCAGCCTTAGAGGTTGATGTCATGAACTGTCTGAGCTGTCACGGAAACTATTTTCATAAACCCCTGTGCCAAGTCTGAAGAAGGTGTTGTCTGCTTTTCAGAGCTTGATTGTGCAAAGAGTTCACTGTCACTGGAGGACGACCACTGATTAGTGGTACTACGGCTCCTTCTATACCTCCCGATTACTGCTGTTACTGTGTTTCCACTGATTTGTAGTTGATCGCCCTGCATTCCTTTCAATGTGGCACCTCGATGTAGACATGCAGACAGACACAGTCCAGAGGTCCAAAACTGACAGCTCATTTTATAAGAATATTCATGCAGTTGGGATAATTAGAACTCACTGGTGTACTCAGTTTAGCTACAGTGATCACAGGTTCTCTAACTTGTGTGTCAGTGATCACAGGTGTCTTCACTTTTGTTGCATTGCGTTTCTACTTCAGGCTTTTCAATATATTATTTCCAAAGTCTTTGTCTCTGATTGCTAATAAGAGGAAATACTAGAAATAATGCAGGTGTTGAGAGCTGATACAATTGTGAATCAGTAAACACCTACTCACTTCTGTTGCATACTCTAGGTGCAGTAATATTCCCACTCTTTTCTTCACAAGCCGGTGCAAATGCATAACGAGCAAAGTGTCATTAACTGCTCGCACAAGTTACTCGTAAACCCAACAGAACAGAACGATGTAAAGAACCACCTTAAAAAAGATACCTGCGATATGTTGTTCCAGCTCCACCAGCTTTATTCATCTATAAACATAATGTGCCTCCTCTAAAGGCACATTAAGACATTTACTGTTGCTAGAATACCTCCTAAAACGCCGCGCGCCCTCTATCACCATAGGTGGCTTTAAGTGGCGCATCAGTGAGTCACATAATCCTATAAGGTAGCAGAGCAGGACGACGGGTAGAGAAAAGTGCGAGTGATTCAGTGCTGGTGAGTGGGTGGTCAGGTACCAAGGCTCACTTCATGAGCAGAGGAGATAATAACACACCGTCTGTACATCTCCATTCCCATTTGGGTTTGAAAATAGTCGGCCTCCCCAGCTGTTAGTCATTACGCCTTGGGGTGCAGAGGAGGGAGGAGGCTGCATCTGTCAGCAGGCAGATAAAGAGAGGAGGGCTTCACGCCGGGTTTTTCAGGCGTCGCGTTCAATACAACTGGAAGTCGCTGTGCGGTTCATTAATCACAGTGTACTTCCAGGGTTCTATCTGAACCAACATACACTCCCTCACTAATGTTTCACTAAATGGAAGCACATTTGAAATAATGTATTCATTTTTAATATACTTGCAAACAACCTCTGCCTCCTTCTCAGCAAAGATCAGAGGTCAAAAACCGGCTTCAGAGCAAAATCTTGTGTTTTTCCGCGATTGTCACACTGACCCAGATCCAAACATCCTGTCTAAGGAAGGTGCTGGTTCAGTGTGTCAGGAGACTATAAGCTTTTAAAACTGTAAGCAGAAATTAAGCTACTCTTGTTTGGAGCAGCATAGTTGAGATTATTCAGAATTTTCTGTAATGAACCATGTTTTCACAGACTACAGGCTGGAATAGTAAATGTAAAAACACTAAATATTCAGGTTTGACCCCGATCTTACAACTTCTTCTCCCTGGACTCACACCTTTGGAAATGTTCCTCTTGGTGAGTAGCCTTTATAATCTAAGACGTGGATTAAGTGAACCAAGAACAAATACAGATACATTTTCTTGATTAGTCCACATTCAAAATATAAAGGTGCGAACTGGAAACACAAATGGTTGTTGGCCATGACACCGTAGAAAAATCATTTTTGTTCCACAAATAACCTTTTAGCAGGACGGTATTTTACATTTCTTCAAACTGTTCTTTGACAGGGGGAAAGATGCCTCAAATAGCACTCCAAACAACTTTAGCTAAAATAGATTCTTTAAGGAACCATGTTTCTGGCTTGTTGTCAGCTGACCCATCTGGTTCTATTTTATAAACAGGACTTGATAAATGTTTAAGTTATTGTTAAGCAGAAAGTCAGAATTTGCATCATTTCTGGATTTTCCTTTATGATACATGTAATATTGTTGATTCTGGACTGTTGGTCAGACAGAACATATTCCATTAAAAAATAATAGGAGTGCTATATGGAACCAAAATAATTCTTTGCACTGATGCTATAGAACAATCATTTTTAGAACCTTTTAGCAAGAGGCTCTTTAAAAGAACCATTTCTTCAAACAGTTCTTTAAAGTAACCCCTAATGAACAATGCAAAAATGGTTCTTCACTCACCAAAAAAACTTCATCACAAATGGGTTCTTTAAGGAGCCTCTTTGTGGACTCACCTGGTTCAGTGAAGAACCTTGTTTAAATGATTCTTTTGTCATTTTTAAATTGTTCTTTAAGCATTTTAAATCCCGTTATTGTGCTGAAGCTGAAAAATGATTGATTTATTCACATTCTGTTTTGCTCTAATCAGTTACAGAGAAGTAAGATATTGAAAATGTGACCTTGTGAACATACAAAATAATGAAAACACAAAATCCATCACTGTGAAGAGGAACATAGAACCCTAAAGCTATCCAAGCTAAAGGTCAAGAAATGCCGAACACGTCTGACAGGTAGCAATACATCGATTTTAAGAACTTGAAACTGTAAATGTAGGAACTTGCAACATTTCTGGGTTTCCACCAGAGCACATTTAATATTTTGGGTTCTTGACCAGATGGAACAACATGTTACAAGATGCCAAGTTGAGATTTAATAAAGTGTGTTTCTCACAGTTTTTTGATGATTAATCGAGAAAAAAAATCTGCAGATTAATCAATAATCTAAATAGTTGCAGCTCTAACTTCATTCCACCACCTGCCACCAAACCGGATAACTCCAATAAATATAGAACCTTCAGAACTTTACAGAACCACATCAAGTACTTGAACAACCACCCCCTAAATAAAGAGGTTCTTCACTTGGTGATGGTGCTTTGAGGAACCGCTGGAGAACCTTTATTTATATAAGTCCTCTGGATATATTCAGGCAACCTAGCATTTACTTTGGATCGTTATTTTTCCTTCCTTCCTTTCCTCTCACAATGCCCCTCTCTTCCTCCTCCTCTTCCTCCTCCTCCTCCTCCTCCTCTTTCTCTTCAAAGTGTCGTGAACGCGCTCAGTAGGCTGCTATTAAATGGGCGGACTTGGAGGCGCGGTCACGTTTCACAGCAGCTCCGGTGGTTTCTGAGCTGCACATAAAAGTGCACGAACCACCGGCCGACCGGCGAAACTCTGCCTCTGCTCTCAGGAAGACCGGACCGGACCTGATCTGACACCGGTGAGGACCAGGACCAGGACCTGTGCCGGTGATACATTCATGCTGTCTATTTGGTGCTTACATTTATTTTGCGTTTGTTTCCAGCTGACGCTCTGCGGCTGTCGTGAGAAATAGGTCAGTTTTACAGTAAGATTGGCAGCTTGACAGGTTGTTTTGAAGCAGCCTTATCAGCGTTGGACATTTATCTCTGAATTGTGCCTTGGGCTAAAAATAACTAACTGTTCCTCGATTGTTGCACACTTTTACGCATTGGTAGGAAAATGTATTTGGTATTTTTTTTTCATTCCCTTCCATTTCCTTGATAATTCTCAGACCCATTTCTTGTGCTAGAGGATTAATTGCATTATTATTAGGTCAGTCTGAGGGCTGTAAGCTGACCTGGGTACGAGGATTTTTTTTTTTTAAACAGCCTAGAAAAGTATAGTGGTTAGGCTTTTACGCGCTGGTTTTCCAATGCATTCGTTGTGTTTTTCCCATATAGGGACAACTATTCGCACAGCTGAAGGCTGGTCTGAGATCCGTGTACACCCACTGCTGCCGTAAACGACAATCCAAGGTATGCAGGCATCTTTTAAGAGCGTAATGAGGCTGTTCATATAATCCATAGGTGATTGATTCGCTTGCTTGCTTGCAGGATCTGCATGATTTTGTCCAGATCCACATATCTAATGTTAATTTTTGCTACAGTAAGATCACCCCCAACCTTGTTCTTCCAGTTTTTTACCTCTGTAGGAAGTGCCTGACATTTTTTTTCCAGAGATCCATGAGTTGGTTGATTCTGCCTCATCTGCGCTGAAAGGGCTGTTGGTTGGCTGTTTGCTCTCTTTATAGGTTTCTCTCATACCTTTTTATATAGACTTTATATTTTTGAGTGTGTTTCTCATCTTAAATGTGTGTTTGACTCTGTTTTGCCTCCATCCCAAACCCCCACCCTCGTCTATTTTACGCACTGATGTTTCCCAGAAAGCCTTCACCTCACCGCGGCCTGCCTTGCGTGGGATGCTGCAGAGTGGAAGAACAGTGGTGGAGATTTGATGCTGCTTGGCAGCAGTAGCCTGTAAGAGGTGTGACACGGTCAAACATGGGGGATTCAATCTTCAACTGCTGTTATGTCCCACCTCATCCTCCAGGCGAGGAGGAGCCCCGCAGGTCCAGGCGCACGGACATCATGGCCTCCCACTCAGCCCACATCTCCTCAGACAAGCGCTTCCTCATCTTCTTCGACTTTGATGAGACCATCGTGGATGAGACCAGCGACGACATGGTGGTGCAGGCCGCCCCGGGGCAGCACCTGCCCGGCTGGCTGAAGGACACCTACGTGCCCGGCCGTTACAACGAGTACATGCAGCGCGTCCTGGCCTACCTGGCGGAGCAAGGGGTCACCGAGAGCGACATCCGCAGCACCATGGAGAAGATGCCGTCCACCCCCGGCATGCTCACCCTCTTCCAGTTCCTCCGTAACCGTCCCCCGCAGGACTTCGAGGTGATTCTGGTGTCCGACGCCAACACCTTCTTCATCGAGTCGTGGCTGCGGCGCGCCGGGGCCCGCCAGCTCTTCCACCGTGTTTTCTCCAACCCGGCCACCTTCAACAAGGACGGACGGCTGGTGATGAAGCCCTTCCACTCCCACGACTGCCCGCGGTGCCCCGACAACATGTGCAAGCAGGTGATCGTCAGGGACTATGTGGCGCGCAGGACGCAGGAGCGCGGCCGCCCCTACCAGCGCATCTTCTACGTTGGGGACGGAGCCAACGACTTCTGCCCGGCGGCTGCCCTCGGGCCCCGAGACGTGGCCTTCCCACGGCGGGACTTCCCCATGCACCGGCTGATCACGGAGACCCACGAGGCCATGCCTGGGGAGTTCAAGGCGGTCACGGTGCCGTGGGCGAGCGCAGAGGAAGTGCTGCAGCGGCTGAGGAAACTGGTGGCAGAGTAGAAGGGGGTCAACAAGAGGCCAGCTCACAGTATAAATCATGATCTCAGGTATAATAGTCCTCGAGTGTAACGTTCAAGGCATTAACATCATTTGTACTGTGTGTAAAGATGAAACTGCGTCTGTGTGGCTTCCAGCCTTCAGCTTGTCACGTTTTGGTCCAGAGGTCAGAGTTCAACATCAGCAGGTTAATGATTGTGGAGGCCTCAGCTGCCAACCACGGTTAAAATCAATCATAAATCTAATGCAAATAACATAAAATGTTCATAAAATCTTAAGAAATATATAATTTAACTATTGAGCTTTAGAGTATTTGCATAATAAATGTACTTTAGTGGGACATGGACTTGGTTTGGGGTCAGAGAGGAATCTCTTAAGCAATAAAAAATATTTAAAAATGTTACAGAAGAAATGCTTATCCACCAATTGACTTGTTGCTCTTAAATACCAAGTGTATTTTCTTACAATCTACACTTTTTAGTATGAAATATGAAATGATAGTAAGTGAAGTCAGAGTAACACTGCCATCTAATGGCAACGGGCATTGAACCTAACAGTATTTTTATCAACATACTTCTCAGAGAGGATGTCTAATAATTTACAGATGTATGACTACGTGTTAAGAGTTTGTCTGTTTAACTTGTTTATCAGTCTTTTGTGTCTGTACTGTTGTAGGTTTTGGCCTACAGAAAAAAAAAGAAGAAATATATTAACACCAGCAGGAATAAAGCCATCAACTGAACCCGTCTGTGTCTGAATGTTTTATCACAGTTAATGCAAATAATGCCATGTTAATACGTGTTTCTGAATTTTTATGCAAATTCAAACTGTGGCACACAATGACAGATCTTTCTCATATTGGTGTCTGTTTATTTTCAGCATTTACCATCATTTCCGGTGGGTCAGTATAAGCTTTAGCCTCTAAAATGAGAAGATTCATGGTTTATTTACCATTCAAATATTTATAATCCTGTCAAGAAAAGAAAATTAGGAGAGCTACACTGTGTCAGAAACTATAATTTTAGGAGTTCAAGCACGGAGAAGATGTTAAATCAGGTGCTCTTCAAGTGTACAGCCTTTATTTACTATACGACATATTTCCGTATTATGTGCTAGCCAGCAGCCCCAAACTATCCAAAGCATTGTAATTTTTGACTTTAGAAATCCTTTATGAATGCACAAAGCATCTTAGCTTTATGTCATGTATAGTTCCTTATTATGCGTAAAATAGATTTTATTATTTTGTTTATTTTCTGCTTCGAAACTATGTGCAGTCGATGCATTTCCACTAAACCACTAATCAAGATTCTAATATTTTTCTTTGTCAATTGGTTAGTCTAGGTTTGCAGTAATGAAAATTGGTATCATTTTCAAGTTGTAGTATTACATTGATGCCACTGGGAGGCGCTGAATGCACATGAATGAAGTGTAGCTGGACAGTTTTTGATTGTTGGTTTGTTTTTATTGGGGTCCGACCATTACTCACATTGGGGTTTCGCCATGTTAGTTTTTTTGTTTTTTTTGGCAAATTCCAGGAGAACGAAAAGTCATTTTTGGGTCACTAATCCTCATCATTTGCTTATGCAGGCAAGACTGTCATGTAGAAGTGCATTACAACTTATATGAGCTTTTGGTTTTGTATTTTATTTTAACCCTAAGCAGTTTAAAAATCTGGAATGGTTGCTTAAGTTCTGACTTTTTAATTGTTAATTAAGCTAATAAGATATCTACAGTGTCAATTACTTGAGAGACACTTAAGACAGTTATGTGAAAAGTGTCCTTGTTCTGCTTCAGTCTTACATTGTTCAGCAGATTGTTTCCAGAATGTTTCAAATTACCAGCAGGTTTCATTCTTTAAATGTCTGTACTAGAGATTCAACTAAATCCACAGCTAAACCTAAAAAACATGTACAAGCAGATTCTTTGTTTAATTGTAGGAAACGGATGGATTTTTAATACACTTTTCAATGACAATAATACAAAATCTGTAAATAGCGACGAAGTCAGTGTAAACATTTTCTGGTTAGTCACTTGGCTGAATGAGGCGGCTTGTGCTGTTAAAGTGCATCTGTTTGGGAACATCAGCTGCAGAGAAATGGTTCTGCAAAAAAAAGGAGTTACTGGATGTAACTCCACGTCTGACAGCTTTCATTGTTGGTTGTGCGCGGTGGTCAGACTTCATTCTGTAGCAGCCATGACCACCCCAGGCCACCTCTTGGCTCTGCCCCTGGTTTACACCCACAAGAAGGCAACCATTAACTAAACCAAAGTCAGGGCAGACATTACAGTGCACCAAGAGTTCATGTAAAGACAAATAACAGGCTACATGTTAAAATTTCACAAAAATGCAAAATCACACTGCTGCATGTACTTTGAAAGGTGTGTAGTCTGAGGCTGTAGCCACACATGTGTCATCAATAGCCCCCAGTCTCAGTAGCGCTTTTTAAAATTATGATTTTAGCGAAGACACCAGTCACATGTCATAACTGCTCAGTACAGAAGATCTAAAGGCAGTAGAGAAATGCTTTTATGATATAGTCCTCTCATATGAGTACAAATAAAAGCCATGATAATAAATGTGACATATATATATATAATAAATGTTATATATGTATTAAGAAAGTTGCCTTGAGTTGCCTGCACTTACTGTGATATTCATGTGGGTTAAGCAGAGAAAGAAAGTGGGATAACTTTGCTTTGCCTGGAGTTTGCCACAGTTTTTCACATTTTATATCGATAACATTCTATTATTTGCTATGTATTATATTGTAACTTCAAAATAATATGAAAATGATGTAATTATCAGGTTAAAGTGTAAAGATTAGTTTGAGCCTAAACATCCTAACCAGCCTCTAGGATGCAGTACCGTGTCTGTACACTGACAGGGGAGGCGGTAGTGCGCAATAAAGCGCCTCGCTTTGGGCTCCCAAACGGTTCTGAGTTTGTCCTGTGCAGCCCCCTCTGTGAGCCTAGCGTGG